AATTTGGAAAGAAAACCAAAGTTGTCCACATAAAGGCCTCACTTTAAGATAAGCCGCGGGTTTTCATGTTTAATGTAGCAGAGACGACTGTTTTAACTGGGCACAATACGATTTAACCGTTAGCTCCCATGCTAACGGACTGAGACAGTAGCTTTTAGATAGAAGGGGCGGAGCTTCATGTTTGTTCCTGACATTAGCGTGGATGGATCTAAACACAACTGCAGGACCGCGACTGATTTAGCAGAATACGTCTCCTTTAAATCCACTCATTTCAGGTCAAATGTCACGTCGGATTCACTTGGACGTGCTTTTTTGTTGTGTGATTTTAAATGCGTATAAAGTCGCTTAAGAGCTTAACAGTTAGCTTCCATGCTAACCGTTAGCTCCCATGCTAACGATTAAGCTCTTAAGTGTCCTGTCGCTACTAAAACTTGTTAAAAGTAATGAATCCGTAACCTCTGCCACATCGTGTTATAAACTGCCCCCCCCCCCCTCACAGAATTTAAATTGGTTCTTAACCGTTCTGCCTCATTCCGAGCTAACGTGTTTTATATGCTTTTCTTTGGGGGCTGTAGTTCCCATCGTCCCCAGTAGTTGGCGATCTTACTCTGACCCTGAATAACTCATTTGAACAAACAGGAAATGCCAAAGGTTTAAGATGATGTTGATCGAACCATAATAATCTGAGTTCTAAACTAATAATCCAGATGTTTAACCGCTGCCAACATTTGACAAATTCATCCTTTTATACTTTTATGTTTCTACAGAACTTTTTCTGTGTTGTGTTTGAACGTTTAAATTTACCTTTAACTTTAAATATAAAAACATGTTTTACCCAAACCTTAAATATGTCTTGATAAATACTTTACATAAAACAGAAGCTGATTAATACTTTAGATTAAAACTTGTATTAATTTCTCTTCACTTTTGTAAACTCCAAAACCAACTGCTCGATGTTAAAAACTATTAGAATTAAATAATCTGTTAATTTATCTTCCAGTTGTTGTTTTATTATATATATTTTATACAATTATAACGACTAAGTTCCTGATCCAAACACATGACTGTGTTAGCCTGATGAAGCTGACTTAGCTAACGTGCTAACGGTGCTAATCCTGCGCAGTCTGCAGGACTTAGTGGGCCGTCTGTACATATGTACAATAAAACCCTCTGTGTCCATTTTGACCCTCTCTGCTTCCCGTAGTCTGCTCTAATAACCACATCATGTTCATTCACCAGCGCCGCGTCGTTCAACTGTTTTTAACCTCTTTTAATGATGTCACATGTTCAGAAGTGCGTACGGAAGGTCCACCTCTCACTTCAATCATCCGTTTGGTGTCTCGGTGATAAAATATTTAATCACTCGGACTCGGAAGTTTGAAGCTTCTAGAACTCTCACTCAAACCAATGGAATCCCCAAAAACGTTTTTAAGATTTCTAAATATTTGTTTTAGCTTCACTCCGTTTACTAAGAGGCTAAAACTAGTGACTTTAACTTGGAACACTGGTAGCAAGTAGACATTATGTTGCTATGCTAACTAGCACTGGGGCTACTCCGGCCGGTGAAGGTAGAACTACTCTCAAGAAAACTGAAAAGTGATGACATCGAAAGAACTACATATAAAAACAGAAAAAGTCACAAAGTTATAAGAACCCAGAACGTTCCGTCAAAGTGACTGACCTTAAACTTTAAATTGTCCCAAATGTAAAAGTGAGAATGAAAAGTGTCCCGTGGAGCAGTGAGGCTCAGGACTGACTTTCTGTGCGCACTTTTAAACCTTCAGATCTTCAGGTTTTTTGAGGCAAACTTCTTTTCTACGCGACGTTTGGGGCGTTAGCGACTGTAGCGCGCGGATGCTAGCGAACAAAACGCATTCATGCACTTTGGGACCGAAATAACTTTATTTATTAAAACGGAAAAAGTCCAGATTTTGGCCAAAACAGTCACAGATGTTCAGTGACGACGCCTCACTCTGATTGGTTCGTTTGGATCATTGTGAAACATCAAAGACTTCTCAACAAATGTTTTTATAACGCAATTTTGCGTTATAAAAAAAAACTTGAAACAAAACTTAAACATATGTTAAAGTTTTTCACATTTATTACAAATTTAACCAAGAAACAAACAGTAAAAAAAACTTCAAATTTGACCAAATCTTTTTTTATTTTTTTAACTTTTTGAAAACTCAAAATTAGCAAAATATTGTCTAAAAAAATCAATTAAATCAAATCCATTAGCTTTTTATTTTTTTCTATATTAATTATTTCTTTGATTGAAGAAAATTAATGACAAAAATCTAAGTTATTAATATGAATATTGTCTCCTGGACCTAATACTTTAAACAGAAACACTTTGAATAAATATAAACATTAATTCAGACTTAAATAATTATTAATCTTTCTTTCTCTGTAGTTTCATGTTTTTGTGTTTGAACTTCTGAATGAAAGTCGTAGCAAAGCGTCCGAACCCTTTCTCCAAAGACGCCTCTGTTCACATAAACATAACTTTATTTTTTTACTGCTGCCGGTGTAAATATCCTTCAAGCGTTTCGCCAAATCATAACATTAAATATATTATTTTTCGTACCTTGGAGCAGAAGCGCAGGGTCCGGGAACAGGACGAAGGTTCCTCTTTGTAAATGTTTAATTTATTTGAGCTGTGCCAAAATGTTACAGGATTTTCTGTCAAATATTTGGGGGTTTGTTGTTTTTTCTCTTTTTTGGAAGAAATAAAGTCATTCCTGAAAACAGCTGAGTGTGTTTTTATCTTTATTTAGTAAAATTATGTATATTTCTGACAAAGCAAGGCCTGTCCCTGTGCTCCTCAGAGTCCCAGCAGGAGGCCAGTCCCTGTGCTCCTCAGAGTCCCAGCAGGAGGCCAGTCCCTGTGCTCCTCAGAGTCCCAGCAGGAGGCCAGTCCCTGTGCTCCTCAGAGTCCCAGCAGGAGGCCAGTCCCTGTGCTCCCCAGAGTCCCAGCAGGAGGCCAGTCCCTGTGCTCCTCAGAGTCCAGCAGGAGGCCAGTCCCTGTGCTCCTCAGTCCCAGCAGGAGGCCAGTCCCTGTGCTCCTCAGTCCCAGCAGGAGGCCAGTCCCTGTGCTCCTCAGAGTCCCAGCAGGAGGCCAGTCCCTGCCTGTGCTCCTCAGAGTCCCAGCAGGAGGCCAGTCCCTGTGCTCCTCAGAGTCCCAGCAGGAGGCCAGTCCCTGTGCTCCCCAGAGTCCAGCAGGAGGCCAGTCCCTGTGCTCCCCAGAGTCCCAGCATAGAGGATAGTTCTAGATGTTAGATAAATCGTGTGTGATAAATATTTTCCAACACAAATATATTTAAAACAGTTCTTCCTCTTTGCAGAACTATGACCACTAACATTTGCAGGAGAACAGTTCTAGTTCAAACCGGTCCAGAAGGTCCAGAGAGGGCGGCTGTGGCTGCAGGGTTTCCATCAGACCCATGACGACCAGCGCAGACTCCACCCAAGTCCTCAAATCTTCAGGTTAAGAATGACCATCTGGGTCTGATGGAAACCCTGCAGCCACAGCCGCCCTGAGGTAAACCACTGACGAGGGACTTCAAGGAGTTCAATTATTTCAACCAATCAGGAAGCAGCGGGAGTGAGCGTGGGCGGGGCTAACTGGGACATTTCTGTCCTGGTCCTTATTATTGTTCTGTCTGATAGTCCATTCTCCAACATCAGGCATAAGGCTTTTGATATTTTCTCTTCACTTCTAGACACCTTTATGAGATGATAACGAGACCAGAAAGAGACCTTAGAGAGACCAGAGTGAGTTAGAGAGAGAGACCAGAGAGAGAGAGAGACCAGAGTGGGTTAGAGAGAGACCAGAGAGAGTTAGAGAGAGACCAGGGAGAGTCAGAGAGAGAGCTGGAAGAGACTAGGGAGAGACCAGAGAGAGAAAATAATCTCTCTGTGGAACTTTGTCTCAGTTTTGCTTCCTGTGGATTGTTGGAATTACAAAAACATTCTCTCCAAACGCCAGAATCTGACTTTTTGACGTTCATTGATCCATGAATAAAGTGTGTGAGAGCTGGAGGTCTGTGTCTCTGTGACGCCTCAGATAAGTCCTGACAGCTGGAAGGTGAGGGAGGGGGTGGGGGCAGATGGGTGCTATTTTTACCCCCATTCAGAGCACCCAGGGCCGGCCACATGCTCCCCAAGAAGTGGAAGATTCTGGAGGTTTCTCTCGGCACGGGAGGACATAAAGAGAGGAGCCGATACTGCTGATACTATTGTGCTGATACTACTACTGCTACTATTACTACTACTACTACTACTACTACTGTGATTACTCAAGTCCAGGCTGAGATGGAGCTTCATTGCTATAACCGCGGCTGTGGAGAAAAGTTTGATCCACAAAAGAACAGAGAAGGTGAGTTTATTTTAAAGCTGGGGTCACTAACTTTATTGTTTTTATATACAACATTTGTCATTGTGAACAAATCAGACGACATCATTCTGTCTTTGTCTTATGAGAAAAGGCGCTTTACACCATCCACTCACTCCCTCATTCGTTACATGCAGTGGTAAGGGCAACCGAAGCACCTGGAGGAAACCTACGCTGACAAGGGGAGAACATGCAAACTCCTCTCAGAAAGACCCTGTTCCGACCAGGATCTGAACCCAGGACCTTCTTGCTGAGAAGCCATGGGGGCTAACCACTCAGCCACCATGCCGCATTTTTATTTGTTATTATTATTATCAAAAAACAAAAAAGTATAATAACTTTGTTTATTTCATACGGAGCAAGGACCAGTGACGCAGGAACCAGTGACGTAGGAACCATTATTTCCGTTTTTATCGCAGCTGTTTTGAAGTCACACATTTCTTAATAATCTATAAGTAATAATTTTGTAAACTATGCATAAACAGACCTGTGTTTCCAAACTCCTCCCACAATAATCATGAACTTGTATCAATGCAGAATAAAGAGTCGTAGAACCAGGTGTCGCAGAACCAGCAGTCCATTATCTCCTTGTAAAGACATGTAGAGAATGGCTCTTCTCAGTGAGATCTCGGTCTCGTCGGAGTCCTCGCTGCAGATCGTGAGAAGCCACTTTGAGCAGATCAGTGGCGGTCAGTGGGTGATGTTGTCCAGCGGCATGTGCGACTTGGAGACCAGGCGTGTTCTGACCGCCATGTTTATCACGCTGGTCCAAACGCTGTCCGCCAACGTCTTGGGTCTGATGGTTCCTGAGTGAGAGTGAGTCAAGGACCATCATCACTGCTGCAGAACACCATGGGGCAAGTGTTCTCCCAGGCTCTGAATCTGCCCAGGACTCGTTGGACAAACACCAGGACTCCCCTGATCGAGCAGGAGGTGTCCGCGAAGGTGAACCGTGTCCTTTTTGAGGAGCAGGAGGAGGGTTCTGTGATGGTGGACTCCCTCATCAGCAGCGAGAGTGTGGCTCGCAGCATGATCGAGACGGGAAACTCCTGCCTCAAGAAGTGCCTTTGCTCCTTGTTCTGCTCCTGCGGCCGCCGCGCTGCCACAAAGAAGTCGGAATCTTTGTAAAGTGGGCCGTGCCGCTGCAGCTTCCTCAGATTCCCAAAAAAGAACTCTCGAAGCATGCAGGAAAATCTGGAGGTAGAACTTGGGGTGTTATGGGATATGCCTCGAGGACTCCAGAGGTTAGTTTTGAGCAGTTTCAGCCAGATGTAGAGGATTTGTTTCGACCATTAGATCTGACGCAGAGACCAGTCATGAAAGACTGTCCCAGGCCTTGGATAGTGAACAAACCAGTGCTTTTGCTCAGAGACTGACAGACACAATGGACTGTCACTTCCAGATCATGAACAGAGCTGCTCTTGCTTTGTCACCAAACGTGAAGACAAGAAGAAAGCTCAGGAACCATGACCTGGAGCTGGCATACGCATTAGGTATTAGCTTACCTTCAAAGCTTCCAGGATTTCACTGCGCAAGACCCATTGGAGAACTTCTACTGCCATAATCAGTTTGAGTTGTACATGGAGAAGCCGCCTCTGTCGCCCAACTCCCAGCAGGCCCTGACGGATAATGTGTCCATTCCTTCTCCAGGGTCGGTCCCCGTCCAGGTGGACTTTCAACAACTGCCAGAGCAGTCTTTCAAAAACCAGAAACGCAACCTGTTCGAGAGGTCCATGGTGCACCCCAGAGCCTGTGTGCCTACACGGATCTCCAGAGACGTTCCAACGATCGTCTTATGCACACCAGAGGTCAGCACCAGGATTATCTCAGGCATCTCTGAGAACGCTTTCAGGATTCAGAAGTACTGTTGGAGAGTTCCATGGGGCCTCCCAAAGAAGAGCTGCCTTCCTTCATCTCTGAGGACGTCCCGACGGTTGTCCTGAAAACCCCAGAGGGCATGAGAAGAATCAGCGACAGAGACTTGTCCGAGGGTCTGTCCATGACTCTAGGCCTGATAGAGGCTTTGACGATTGAGATGTTCAGGGGAAAGGAGCTTTACGTTCGTGGGACAAAAAATACAAAGTGATCCGCGACCGTTTGACCGAAAAGGCCTGGGAGGAGATCCAGCTTTCTGAACAGCAGGCAAAGAAAACGGAGAAGAGAATGAGTAAGACCATTGGCGTGATTGTGAAGGACCTCAAACAGGATTATGGCACGGCGCAGAAAATGCTGGAAAGTGCTTTGGACGTAAAAGACCGGACTTTTGACAAGACGGTTCTGAAGTCTCTGCAGTACCACCTCCAGCACAACCTGCGGAAGAACAGGTCTTTCCTGAGCCGTGAGTTCAGAGGCCTCTGTAAAGGCTGCAGCCCCACCATCCAAGAGTAAGACCCACAGAACAGCCCAATGCTAGCTACAAGACCCCCAATGCTAGCTAGCTACAGGAGTAGGATAGGGTTAGCTTAATAAAAGGGGGAATAGTGAGCAAAACTTTCACTTTTACCACCTTTAGCCACAAGCTAACAGACTAGCATTGCTTCAACCGGTCGTGTTTGGATTTGTCTTGAATCTGAACGAGAGGGTGATCGCAAGAGAAAAAGACAGAACTTTTGAACCTGAGCAAACCCCAACTTTCACCATCGCTAACGGCAACCGGCGTCTCCCCCCGGACTAAACTAGGACTTAAGTCTTAATCCCTCATGTTCAGATTATTGTACAATCTGACAGAGAGCTGAAAGCACAAACAGGAGACTGAGTTTGGAACACATGTGTCTGATTTGGACATTTTAGGGCTGGCAGTGAGTAGCATGTAGCTAGCTAACGGACAGTGTGTGAGAATCATCGGAGGGAACCAGAGACAAAACAGCATAAAAAAATCTAATAAAATAAATAAATAATAATGATAAATAAAATGTCTTTCTCTTTGGCTTAAAACTGTAACGATTCTGTGATTTTAGTTTTGGGATTAGAAGGAAGCTTTTATGTACCTTTTTTTAATGCGATTTGTCGAGGACCATGAAACCACAGTCAGAAACAGAAACTCTGTGATAATCTCAGTTTATTCATGAATTAAAAATAAACTTGTGTTTAGATGTGTAAAGATGAGCCTCTTGCATGTTGTGGAAAAACTTTCATCACTTTGTGTCTGTTTTCATAATAAACATGTTTTACTTTTCCTTTAGATTCCTGTCAGTTCCATCCTGGAGTTCCCATTTTCCACGACGCTCTGAAGGTAAAGAACACATTAACATATGAAATAAATATATAGTTTGTTATTCTTATTTTATATTCATTGTATTAAGTTTGAGACCCCATCACCCCTCCCATGGGGCCTGATAGAGGGACCCCCGTATGTCATGGTCACAGTGTAATTTCCCACTTCTACCTGTAGACGGCAGTGTTGTAAATATAAATATGTGATTTACTCTGTTCCAGGGATGGTCCTGCTGCAGGAAACGCACCACAGACTTCTCTGAGTTTCTCTCCATCAAGGTAGAGATCTCTCTGGTCTCTCTCTGGTCTCTCTCTGGTCTCTCTCTGGTCTCTCTCTGGTCTCTCTCTGGTCTTTCTCTGGTCTCTCTCTGGTCTCTCTGGTCTCTCTCTGGTCTCTCTGGTCTCTCTCTGGTCTCTCTCTGGTCTCTCTCTGGTCTTTCTCTGGTCTCTCTCTGGTCTCTCTTGTCTCTCTCTGGTCTCTCTGGTCTCTCTCTGGTCTCTCTCTGGTCTCTCTGGTCTCTCTCTGGTCTCTCTCTGGTCTCTCTCTGGTCTCTCTCTGGTCTCTCTCTGGTCTCTCTCTGGTCTCTCTCTGGTCTCTCTCTGGTCTCTCTCTGGTCTCTCTCTGGTCTCTCTCTGGTCTCTCTCTGGTCTCTCTGGTCCTCTGGTCTCTCTGGTCTCTCTGGTCTCTCTCTGGTCTCTCTCTGGTCTTTCTCTGGTCTCTCTCTGGTCTCTCTGGTCTCTCTCTGGTCTCTCTGGTCTCTCTCTGGTCTCTCTGGTCTCTCTCTGGTCTCTCTGGTCTCTCTCTGGTCTCTCTCTGGTTCTCTCTGGTCTCTCTCTGGTCTCTCTCTGGTCTCTCTCTGGTCTCTCTCTGGTCTCTCTCTGGTCTCTCTCTGGTCTCTCTCTGGTCTCTCTCTGGTCTCTCTCTGGTCTCTCTCTGGTCTCTCTGGTCTCTCTCTGGTCTCTCTCTGGTCTCTCTCTCTGGTCTTTCTCTTGTCTCTCTCTGGTCTCTCTGGTCTCTCTCTGGTCTCTCTCTGGTGTCTCTCTGGTCTCTCTCTGGTCTCTCTCTGGTCTCTCTCTGGTCTTTCTCTGGTCTCTCTCTGGTCTCTCTCTGGTCTCTCTCTGGTGTCTCTCTGGTGTCTCTCTGGTCTCTCTCTGGTCTCTCTCTGGTCTCTCTGGTCTCTCTGTGGTCTCTCTGTGGTCTCTCTCTGGTCTTTCTGGTCTGACTCCTTGTGTCAGACGTGTGCTGTGTCTTCAGGGCTGCACTAGGGGGCGCCACAGTGATCAAAAACCTCAGGAGCCGCTGCAGCCCGAGGTCAGCTCCGAGAAAACACACGAGAAAGTCCTGAACGGCACCGAGATCATCTACCAGGGCCCGAAGAGTGCAGAGGCCCTGCAGAGAGAGAGACCCAGGTACCAGACCAGGACTGGATCAGGACTGGACCAAGACTGGACCAAGGACTGGAGCAAGGACTGGACCAAGGACTGGACCAAGGACTGGCCCGGGACTGAAGCAAGAATGAAAAAGGAGTAGACTGGAACTGGACCACGACTGGACCAAGGGCCAGACCAGGACCAGACCAGGACTGAAACAGGACTGGACTGAATACTGGACCAGGACTGAACCAGAACTGGACCAGAACTGAACCGGAACTGAAACCAGGACTGGACCAGAACTGAACCAGGACTGAAACAGGACTGGACCGAGACTGGACCTGGACTTCAACGGGACTGGACCAGGACTGGAGCAGGGACTGGAGTTGAGACACAGTGTCACAGAGACCCTGATGAAGACTGTCCCTCTCTTGCATTGGGGGCGGTTCTGGTCCAGTCCGGACGAGCCCAGACTGAAGCTTCCGCACAAAACCTCTGCGTCTCTGGAGCAGGTTCTGCAGAAGATGGAGCTGAACGAGAGGAAGGACCAGGAGCAGAGAGGTGAGGGACCATGTGTCAGAGGGACCATGTGTCGAAGGGACCATGTGTCAGAGGGACCATGTGTCGAAGGGACCATGTGTCACAGGGACCATGTATCGAAGGGACCATGTGTCGAAGGGACCAGTGTCACAGGGACCATGTGTCAAAGGGACCATGTGTCAAAGGGGGCATGTGTCAGAGGGACCATGTGTCAGAGGGACCATGTGTCAGAGGGACCATGTGTCGAAGGGACCATGTGTCAAAGGGACCAGTGTCACAGGGACCATGTATCGAAGGGACCATGTGTCGAAGGGACCAGTGTCACAGGGACCATGTGTCAAAGGGACCATGTGTCAAAGGGGGCATGTGTCAGAGGGACCATGTGTCAGAGGGACCATGTGTCGAAGGGACCATGTGTCAAAGGGACCAGTGTCACAGGGACCATGTGTCGAAGGGACCAGTGTCACAGGGACCATGTGTCAAAGGGACCATGTGTCAAAGGGGCCATGTGTCAAAGGGACCATGTGTCACAGGGACCATGTGTCACAGGGACCATGTTTCAAAGGGACAATGTGTCAAAGGGACCATGTGTCAACGGTACCATGTGTCAACGGTACCATGTGTCAAAGGGAGCAGTGTCTGTCTGTCTGTCTGTCTGTCTGTGTCTGTCTGTACCTGTTTCTGGGGTGACAGTGGCTCAGTTGTAGCCTGAAGGTTGTGGGTTCGATGCCACCATGAGACCTACAGTACTCCACTGATGTCTGCTGTTGTGTCCTTAGGCAAGACACTTCCCCCACATTAGAATGAGTCTGGTGTGTGTGTGAATGGTTGGTGGTGGGAGGGGCCGGTGGCACAGACTGGTTGCCTCGCTTCTGTCAGTGTGCCCCAGGGCAGCTGTGGCTACAGTGGTTTCTCACCACTGTGTTTGGAGAGAGTGATTAATGATGTGAAGAGACTTTGAAATCTAAACCACTGCATTGTTGTGTTTCTGCCGCAGAGAGTCAGGGGGTGTTGCCGGGAACTCGCTGCAAAAACGCAGGATGTAAAACAGTACGTATTCACAAACCAGATCACCAGGAGCTTGTCTTTGGAGTCAGACTGATCCCTCTGAGTCACTATTGGACTCTTTGGACTGAGAGCTGATTGGCTGAGAGAGGGGGGGTCCGCTCTGTGATACTTTTCTGTCTGGAAAATCTGATCCAAAGATGTGACAAACGTCCCTCAGCTTTTATACATAGTTCCCACAGACCAATGAATGTCACATGACCTCCTCGGAGACGCCATCTTTGATGGCACGCTGCTGTGTTTGTGCATTCCATTAAACAGAAGAATGAGAATAAATGTAGATATTCAAACGCAAATTGGAAAAAAAAGGGCAACTTTTGAGCGAATAATTGTATATTAATACAATGGCACCACTGTTTAACGTGCTACGGACATGTTTTACATATTTGATCAAATTATGCAGCAAAAATTAACAAGCAATGCAAACATTTCTCAAAAACTTTAGATTTAATACCAGTTGGAGCTCCATTTAATTATTTTAATTATATTAACAATTAATTTAATTAATGCTAATGCTACACGGACACTCTGGATTGCTGTTATTGTTTATTTCTGCGTTTTTGACCGTATGTTTTGGTGAATGGTGGGCAACTGATTTTTCCAGGCGTAAAGAGCAGTTTATTTTATGACACAGATCTTTTTACAGAAGCAATGCTGTTTGTGAACATTGTTTTAGCCCACCATAGAACTATTATTATCTATTTAATACATTTACGTTGCCCTCGAGAGCCTCGGACGCGACACCGATCCTCCTCATAATAAAGTAATCTAACGCTAAATAATGAAACTCTCTAGTTACCAGATATCAGCATACACAAGTTAGTACTGAGTAAATTACGTCTGTCAACACATTATAAGATACGATACGCACCTGACACAAAGTGCTCCGAGCATATTCTTGCGTGTTTTGAGGGAGTTTCTTGCCTGTTTATCTTCGCAAGCCATAACCTCCGTGGTTGTTCTGACAAAAGCTTAGTCTTCTCACATTCATGAAGTCTAATGATGGGTATACTGTAAAATCCAAGTTTAACGGAACCTCCGGCACGATTTGAACATCCATTGACCCAGCAGGAGACGACCATTTTCAACTTTATCACGACATTAACACGTTTCAGCTTCTTTTTCTATTGTTTTGCCCACAGCATGCCAACACAAATGTCGCCGGGTCGGCAAATCCCCGTATGTAATGACGTCATGTGGGAACTATGTATATGCTGTTCAACGCTCATCAATGCCGCCATCTGCTGGACTGACGGAGTAACTACACTCTGGGGCTGTGCGCGGCAGATTCAGCTTCATTCTTTCATTGTAGAAAAGCTGAGGTGCGTAACTTTCAAACCACAGCAATGGAAGTATGTGGAGAGAGAGAAAGAGAGAGACCAGAGAGAGAGAGAGAGAGAGAGAAAGTGAGACGAGTGAGAGAGCGAGAGAGAGACCAGAGAGAGAGAGAGAGCATAGAGAGAGAGGGAGACCAGAGAGATACCAGAAAGAGAGAGACCAGAGAGAGATAGTTCTATCTCTAGTTTTCTGGTCTCTGTCACGTCTTCAGTTTTTTCAGACAGAAAGTGACCCCCCCCCCCCCCCCCCCCGGCCAATCAGCTCTCAGGGATCCTTCTGACACTAAAGACAGGTTTTGTAACATTTGACTTTTTCTGGACAAACTCTATTTGTCAAACCAAAGAATTACAGAGCCCAGCTTTAATCCAGACTGTTGTTCTTTCTTCGTTGTTTGCAGTCGTTTCAAAACTCGGACACGGACAAAGAGACGTGCACGTTTCACCCTGGGGGGCCGGTGTTCCACGAGGGGTAAGCACCTCCCCCAACCCTTCTGTCTACAGCAGGCCTCTCAAACTCAGTGTGTCCAGGGGCCCGCGTCAAGGGTTATGTTTATCACCAGAGAGCAGTGAGAAAGAAAGAAAGAGAGAGCAGTGAGGAAGAGAGAGCAGTGAGAAAGAGAGAGAGAGAGAGACCAGAAAGAAAGAGAGAGCAGTGAGAAAGAGAGAGAGAGAGCAGTGAGAAAGAGAGAGAGAGAGCAGTGAGAAAGAGAGAGAGAGAGCAGTGAGAAAGAGAGAGACCAGAGACCAGAGAGAAAGAGAGAGAGAGAGACCAGAGAGAGAGAGAGAGAGAGAGCAGTGAGAAAGAGAGAGACCAGAGAGAAAGAGAGAGAGAGACCAGAGAGAGAGAAAGAGACCAGAGAGAAAGAGAGAGAGACCAGAGAGAAAGAGAGAGAAAGACCAGAGAGACCAGAGAGAAAGAGAGAGAGAGAGACCAGAGAGAAAGAGAGAGACCAGAGAGAGACCAGAGAGAGAGAGAGAGAGAGAGACCAGAGAGAAAGAGAGAGACCAGAAAGAAAGAGAGAGATCATAGAGAAAGCGAGAGAGAGAGAGAGAGAGCAGAGAGAAAGAGAGAGAGACCAGAGAGAGACCAGAGAGAGACCAGAGAGAGAGACCAGAGAGAGAGACCAGAGAGAGACCAGAGAGAGACCAGAGAGAGACCAGAGAGAGACCAGAGAGAGACCAGAGAGAGACCAGAGAGAAAGAGTGAGAGAGACCAGAGAGAAAGAGTGAGAGAGACCAGTGAGAGGATGAACATAATAAACACCTACATTTCAAACTCACATTTTTTTTAACACAAACAGAAAGTAAACAAACAATAAAACAAGAATCAGAAGTTGTTTAGTTCCTCGTTTGTGAGTTATTGATCAAATCATGACTTTTATTGCTTTTGAGTCCAGCTGAAAGAAAACTGAACCAAGAGCAATGAGGCTCAGTGTTGTCGACTGGGTTTAATAAAGTTTACTTCGAATTATTGATAGTTGCATTCAGGGATCAGCGTTTATGGTCAAATAAATACTGTGGCTGTTTTCTTGATAAAATTGTCTTTAAAATGATGTATAACATATTTGCACAGACTCTCAGTGGGTGCTGCGCTGACATTACCTTATATGTCCACCAGGGGGCCACAGTGTGTTTGAGGCACTGCTACAGGCTCAGCTTGTGGGCCGGAGGGAAATGACGCTTGAGAGTTTGTAGTTAAATGTTTTGTGGTTTGAAAGTTGGCGACGCCAGCTTTAAGGAGGCAAAAAACATGACGGGAGGAATGGGCCAGAATTCCAGCCAATGACTGTGAGAAGCTTGTGGATCTATAACAAAAATGGACTCAGTAATTATAATAAACACAGTGTGTGAGGTTGATTGCGTCCAAACCGTGAAAGAGCAACTGTTTTAGTTTGGGCTGGTTCGCTCATCCTGGTCGTCTCTTAATCCAGTTTTTCTCCACAGATACAAATACTGGAGCTGCTGTTGTATCAAGACCTTGGACTTTAATGAGTTCCTGGATCAGAAGGGCTGCAGCACCGGGAAGCACTGCTGGATCCGCAAACAGGTACCAAGACCACCCTGGACTGGGGCCGAGACCATCCACCCTGGACTGAGACCGAGACCATCCACCCTGGACTGGGACCGAGACCATAAACCCTGGACTGAGACCGAGACCATAAACCCTGGACTGGGACCGAGGCCATCCACCCTGGACTGGGACCAAGACCATCCACCCTGGACTGGGACCGAGACCATAAACCCTGGACTGAGACCGAGACCATCCACCCTGGACTGGGACCGAGACCATAAACCCTGGTCTGGGACCGAGACCATACACCCTGGACTGGGACCGAGACCATAAACCCTGGACTGGGACCGAGACCATCCACCCTGGACTGGGACCGAGACCATCCACCCTGGACTGGGACCGAGACCATCCACCCTGGACTGGGACAGAGACCATAAACCCTGGTCTGGGACCGAGACCATACACCCTGGACTGGGACCGAAACCATCCACCCTGGACTGGGACCGAAACCATCCACCCTGGACTGGGACCGAGACTGAGCCTCAGGGTTCAGACTCGGTCCTCATGGTTCGGACTCGGTCCCAAGGGTTCGGACTCAGTCCCCAGGGTTCGGACTCGGTCCCCAGGGTTCGGACTCGGTCAGCAGGGTTCTGAAGGCTCACTACTTTTCTTTTTTTTTCAGGACAAGAAGAAGGTTTCGTGTCGACACGACTGGCACCAGACGTCCACCTCGGTCGTCGTGACGATTTACGCCAAAAATGCAAATCCAGAAAACAGCACCATCGAGGCCAACGGCACCGTGGTGAGTCATGTATACTGGTATATATACTGGTATATATACTGAGACATGTATACTGGTATATATACTGGTATATATACTGAGACATGTATACTGGTATATATACTTATACATGTATACTGGTATATATACTGAGACATGTATACTGGTGTATATATACTGAGACATGTATACTGGTATATATACTGAGACATGTATACTGGTATATATACTTATACATGTATACTGGTATATATACTGGTATAAATACTGAGTCATGTATACTGGTATATATACTTATACATGTATACTGGTATATATACTTGTATATATACTGAGACATGTATACTGGTATATATACTGAGACATGTATACTGGTATATATACTGAGACATGTATACTGGTATATATACTTATACATGTATACTGGTATATATTAACGGCTTATTAACCGAGCGCGAGGTCTGTATAGAGAAATATCAGACCGCGGCCTTAATGTACAGACCGAGCCGTGGCGAGGTTAATAAATGTTTTATTATGACTCTCGTCTGTGTCTTTACCAACGCTTTTGAGATATTTGTGAAGTATGTTCATGTCCGACTTGTGATACGCGCTGCGGACAGATTGTCATGGTAACGGTCCGAGATGGGAAAATATCAGACCGGTAATCAGCCAATCAGAGCACGCGTACGATCCAAGTCATATAATAAACTGTTATATATACCGAGTCATGTATACTGTTATATATACTAATACATGTATACTGGTATATATAGTAATATATATACTGTTATATATACTTATACATGTATACTGTTATATATACTAATACATGTATACTGGTATATATACTAATACATATACTGTTATATATACTTATACATGTATACTGTTATATATACTAATACATGTATACTGGTATATATACTAATACATATACTGTTATATATACTTATACATGTATACTGTTATATATACTAATACATGTATACTGTTATATATACTAATACATGTATACTGTTATATATACTAATACATGTATACTGTTATATATACTAATACATGTATACTGTTATATATACTTATACATGTATACTGATATATATACAGTTATATATACTAAGACATACTGTATATACTTTTTACGTAACATTAACGTTTTTGTCTTTCAGCTCTACTGTCTAATCCAGTTTGAAAACAACAAGATTTTCAAGAGAGAGTTTCACCTGTGGGGGGTGAGTGAGGGCAGAGCTCAGAGCGGCGTGGAGAGACCGAAGCTAGAACAAAATCTCTAACTTTAGCATAATAAAGAAGCTAGTATAAAATCTCTAGTTTTAGCATAATAAGTCTAAAGTCCTGTATATCCCAGTGCAGGACATAGTTGTATACATGTGTGTATACATGTGTAGATGCAGTTCCTCTCCTGTCCTGTAGGTGGCGGACGTGAAGCAGAGTGGAGTGAACTATGTCCCGTCCAAAGTGGAGGTGGTGCTGAGGAAGGCTGACCCCGGCTCCTGGGGGAAACTGGAAGACCCCAACTACAAACCCGAGCCCGAGCCGGAGGACCTGGAGCTGAACCTGCCGCAGACCAACCCGGACCACGACATCGACGATGACGACATCAGCGACTCGGACGAAGAGTGGGGTAGGTCTAAGTTCAGAGGTCAAAGTTCAAAGCTCAAAGTGAGAAAGAAGAAAGATCGTACAGTGTGCTTTTAAAAAATTTCAAAAATCTGAGAAACTTTCCTCAGTTCATTCTAGTCTCTCTCTGGTCTCTCTCTGGTTTCTCTCTGGTCTCTCTCTGGTCTCTCTCTGGTTTCTCTCTGGTCTCTCTCTGGTCCCTCTCTGGTCTCTCTCTGGTTTCTCTCTGGTCTCTCTCTCTGGTCTCTCTCTGGTCTCTCTCTGGTCTCTTTCTCTCTGGTCTCTCCCTAGTCTCTCTTTGTTCTCTCTCTGGTCTCTCTCTGGTCTCTCTCTAGTCTCTCTCTGGTCTCTCTCTGGTCTCTCTCTAGTCTCTCTCTAGTCTCTCTCTGGTCTCTCTCTGGTCTCTCTCTGGTCTCTCTCTAGTCTCTCTCTGGTCTCTCTCTATCCTTACGCATAATGAAAAAAGTCTAGGCCGCAAGACGGGTTGGATGCCCGGTCTCTCAGTGTGGGCGAGACAGAGGTGACCTGGAGGTTTTTTGGGTGAATCTAACCAGTTTCTCCCCCTCTCCCCTCCCCACCCTCCCTCCCTGACCCTCCTCCCCCTCCCCCTCAGGCTCGGGCAGTAAAGAGCCCAGCACGGCCCCACAGGAGCCCGCGGTGAAGGACGAGCAGCAGGACCTCAGGGAGAAGCTGGAGGAGATGCAGAAGGCGCAGATGGCTCAGGTCCAGGCCGACATGAAGAAGGCCATGGAGAAACGCAAGAAGGAAGAGGAGGAGCGGCAGAAACTGAGGGAGCAGAACGCAGAGGAGGGCTACGACGACATGCCAGACCTGGAGGACTGAGACCCGGAGGACTGAGGACTCACAAATAAATGTCCATCGAGTGCCCTGGATCACTACCACTGTCCATAGTCCTGCATCAACATATCAAGCCATACTCTGGGCTCGCTCTAGTCTCAATCTCTGGTCTCTCTCTCTTGTCTCTCTCTGGTCTCTCTCTTGTCTCTCTCTCTTGTCTCTCTCTGGTCTCTCTCTGGTCTCTCTCTGGTCTCTCTCTCTTGTCTCTCTCTGGTCTCTCTCTGGTCTCTCTCTGGTGTCTCTCTCTGACCTCTCTCCGGTCTCTCTCTGGTCTCACCACCATAATGTCTTCTATTTTTTGTTTGATTGGCTGTTATGTTGTCATTATGCCTCCGAAAAAAAGACTAGGTTCCAAGACGGGTTGCTAGATGCCTCAGTGTGGAGAGAGAGACATACCAGAAAGAGACCAGAGGGGGACTAGAGAGACGCCAGAGACGCCAGAGACACCAGAGAAACCAGAGAGAGACCAGACTAAAGCTAGATTCATTTCAGAAAGTAAAATCCTTGGACTCTGTCTTGACCTGCTTTTGGACAATGGATGCAGTTTGTTGACCACAGCCTGTATACAAATGGACAATGCTAACCCGCTAGCTCAATGTAGCCCAACAGGAAAATTCTAAATCTGGTTCTGGCTCCTATTGACCTAAATGCAAAAGTAAACTCTCACCATTATGATCTACGAAAATCCCCTCTCTGTGATCCTGGCGTTTATATTGTGATATTGTCTTTGCAAATGCAAATATGAGCCATAAAAATTGACCAATCAGAGGCCTTCATTCACACGGGAAACCGGCTTGCCTTAGCAACCATGTTAACAACACGTCTGCCCCTGTAACGCCCAAATTAAATGTAATGTTCTTTAAGCAGTTTTTGAATGATTTTGATCAATGGCAGAACTAGCATAACACACAACTGTACCATTAAAATTCTGTAATGTGTCTCGTATTGTTATTTATATTAAAGAAAAAATATATGTAAATATATTTAGAATGTAAATCTGGAGAAAATATGTGAAAAACAAAAAGTAGGAAGGGTAAAATAAGGTTTCTGCCTGTAACTCCATGTACTGCCACCAGAGGGAGCGGGGAATCTGCTGGGTTTCTTTCCAAATTTGAAAAAAATAAATAAAAAATACAGCCACTGGCCGGGACCAGAGCCAGTCCCAGAATGCACCTGGGCCAGAGCCTTAGACTGTAAACATTACCGGACATAGTCACACCAAGCCCCGGTGATCCAAGATGGCGTTCTGGCCAATCAGAGGGCAGCGTTCTGACCAATCAGAGCTGCTGATCAGAGTGGAGCTAGAGCAGGATTTTAGAAGAAAAAAGTTCAGGATGACAAGGAACACTAAAATCCTCACAAAGTGTGACCTTTATGAAAGCTGAAGGTTCTCTGTCAGGTTCTCTGTCAGCTGAGGTCAAGCTGTTTTAGTTTACATTGAGTTCTGTGGGGAAAATGTCTGTGTGGTCCACGTGAATTTAGTCTGGTTTAGTCTGGTTTAGTCTGCAGTACCATGAGAATCCCCCGAGCACATGGTTCTTCAGCTCCAAGCCAGTAATACCCTATCCAGTTATTATAATAGATCCATGAAACTAAAGTGCCACCAGTTTTGCCTTCTGTGGGCTTTTTCAAAATGGCCGCTGGGTAGGAAAATGTGGAAAAACCCATTCGCGCTTGCGTGAGCTGCACTGGCCCCATTCATTTAACAAGTGCATTGTAAAGTCCACAGCGGCTATAGATATAGATTGATAGATACTTGATCCCTGTAGGGAATCACCCAGAGGGTGTCACGCAGAGGGTGTCATGCAGAGGGTGTCATACAGAGGGTGTCACGCAGAGGGTGTCACGCAGAAGGTGTCACGCAGAGGGTGTCACGCAGAGGGTGTCATACAGAGGGTGTCACGCAGAGGGTGTCACGCAGAGGGTGTCACGCAGAGGGTGTCATACAGAGGGTGTCATGCAGAGGGTGTCATACAGAGGGAGTCATACAGAGGGTGTCATATATGACACCCTCTGTATACAGAGGGTGTCATACAGAGGGTGTCACGCAGAGGGTGTCATACAGAGGGTGTCATACAGAGGGTGTCATACAGAGGGTGTCATACAGAGGGTGTCATACAGAGGGTGTCACACAGAGGGTGTTATACAGAGGGTGTCATACAGAGGGTGTCATACAGAGGGTGTCATACAGAGGGTGTCACACAGAGGGAGTCATACAGAGGGTGTCATACAGAGGGTGTCACGCAGAGGGTGTCATACAGAGGGTGTCATACAGAGGGTGTCATACAGAGGGTGTCATACAGAGGGTGTCATACAGAGGGTGTCATACAGAGGGTGTCTGGAGTTACCCAGGATGCCCTGCATCAGAGCCCCTTCTCTCCAGCACAGATCCCACAGAGTCCACACTTCTCCGCATCACAGTTGAGCCGAATACTGTTTCTGAGGTCAGACTGCCCCCAACACGCAACCCCAAAGAACACGTGACCCCAAAGAACACGGCACTAGCTTTCACAGACTATCCATCGAATCCATCCATTTTCTTCCTCTTAATCCATTTCTGGGTCGGGGGGTGGCAGTCAGAGCTGCACCCAGTCCACAGAGCACCAGCCCCTCCCTGATCCTCCTGCAGGTGGTAAGTCCACAGGAGCTGAGATCTTTCAGCGGGGGCTTCAGGCAAAGTGGGGTTAAGTGTCTTGCCCAAGGACACAACGACAGCAGTCACCAGTGGGAGCCAGTCAGCTTCCACAGACTGGTCCAAAAATTGAGAGCATCTGGAACGTAGCTTTGGGCCAAGAGTGACTTTTGGACCATCCTGTGAAGCAGTTTTAGAGAGGAAAGAAGACGCCAAACAAAAGCATTGGATAATTCTCTGTCTGGGTACACCCCCACAGGCCTGGAGTGGGATTGCAGCATGTCAGCGCACATGCTCATGGATCTTTCGGAGCCGGGACCCGCCCACACTGGTCAGAGGCATCAAAGAGACAGCGTTTGACCAAAACATGAACTAGATAGATAGATAGATAGATAAATACTTTATTGATCTCCCATAGGAGAAATTCAGGTGTCCAGCAGCAGAAGACTCTTTTCTTGTTTGACAGTCAGTCAGGTTTGTTATACAGTCTGACGCCGAAGGAACAAAGGATCTGTTGAAACGTTCCGTTCGGCAGCGTAGTGATAGGAGCCTGTTGCTGCAATTACTCTTCTGAGCGGCCATAGTGTCATGCAGAGGGTGTCTGGAGTTACCCAGAGGAGATCTGAGTTCCAGCAGGTTAATCACATCAATAACATCAAGAATCTATCTTTTTAACAATGAATGAATGAAGGTGAACCACGGTTTGATCCGATCCGGCTCTAAAACAGTTTTCTTCTATCACTAGTTTTTGTGCTGTATTTTTGCCTCACATTTTCAGACAGAAAAGTGAAAGTGTTTTCTGTGGATGACGTGTCGACTCAGGTTAACAGTGGGAAAGATCAGAGAGTTGTTTGGACAGGTCAAAGTGAACTTACAAACTTACAGAGACCAAAGAGACTTTGTGATTATCCAGCTGTATCTATTTTACATTTTTGATTGGCCGATTGTGGACCAATCAAATCAAACTATATCTGTGGACAACAGGACAGTTCTGTGGAGAGAAAAGACAAAAACTGAACACAAAAGGTTTAAATAATGTTTAGAACCATTTTCATATCTTTTTAAAGAATGACAATGCAGTGCCTGACATGTATGCACGTTACCATAGCAACCATCTACTCAAGGTTGCTTAGCAACAATTGGCTTTGTGATGTCACCCTGCCTTATCTGTTTCAATGGAGATTCTGTGTGGGACCGACCCAGAAGGACACAGGACTCCACAGCAAAGACACGTCCCAAGAGGAGGACACAAAAGACACACGCAAGAACACACAATACACACAACTCACAGCTCGAACACACAACCCTAGTCTACATGGAATCCCAACTCTCCTAGACAAACTAGGAGAAGTCGACAAGCTCCAGCGCCAGCTATGGACTACGAGGCGCGGTGTCTACTGCAGCTCAGTCGACAGCGCTCAGAGTCTGCAGTTGATCCAAGGATCTTTGGCGGTCGTTTGTCCGTCGCGATGCCAAAAACAGCACTGGCTGTCGTAGACGTGAATCTGCCAGGATCCACTGAGAGTGAAACTATACCCACATCAGTGGACACAGAGGTCAGGCCGTCCAGGTACAGGTTCAACATGGAAACCACCGCCTTAATGAAGTCTTCAGACGGACTCAGCCAGATGGAAGGTCCAGATCTCCCAATGGAAAACACAGGAGCTGCACGGGCGGATCCGATTGAACATGAAAACATACAACACACTCACACAGTTCTCTCTGAGCAAAGTTCAGAGCAGACCCCTGCTGAGGAGGCAAGGGACAAATTTAGTTATGAAATGTCTTCTCCTCAAGAGGAAAGTCACATTCAGACAATTCCCTCGAATGAGCGCAAGGAATGTCCAGTCCACCTGTTCATGGCAAAGTCTTGTTCCCAGACTCTCTCTGCTTCTGCAGTGAACACAGAGAAACAGGACAAGAACGCTGTTCTCTCTGAGCAGCACAGAGATAACAGAACGCCTAAGTCAAAGCCAAAGCGATCCATCTGGAGCTTCTTTAAGTGTAAGTCTAGAAACAAACAGAAGCAGCGTTCAGAGCAGACCCCTGCTGAGGAGACAAGGGAAAAATTTAGTTCTCAAGATGAAAGTCACATTCAGACAATTCCCTCAAATGAGCGCAAGGAATGTCCAGTCCACCTGTTCATGGCAAAAACTAGCTCTCAACGTGAGAAAGCTGAGATGAACGAGCTAAGCCGGACAGGTTCTTATAAACGCAAGGAATGTCCAGTCCACCTGTTCATGGTAAAGTCTTGTTCCCAGACTCTCTCTGCTTCTGCAGTGAACACAGAGAAACAGGACAAGAACGCTGTTCTCTCTGAGCAGCACAGAGATAACAGAACGCCTAAGTCAAAGCCAAAGCGATCCATCTGGAGCTTCTTTAAGTGTAAGTCTAGAAACAAACAGAAGCAGCGTTCAGAGCAGACCCCTGCTGAGGAGACAAGTGATAAATTGAGTTTTGAAATGTCTTCTCCTCAAGAGAAAAGTCACATTCAGACAATCCCCTCAAATAAACGCAAAGAATGTCCAGTCCACCTGTTTATGGCAAAGTCTTGTTCCCAGACTCTCTCTGCTTCTGCAGTGAACACAGAGAAACAGGACAAGAACAATGCTGGTTCTTCTGAACAGGACAGAGATAACAGAACTCATAAGTCAAAGCCAAAGCGATCTGCATGGAACGTTTTCCTTTCTGAGATGAATATAGTTTATTTGATCTCATTTTATCTATTTTGTAAGCACTGCAATGATAAGTATAGAGACAAACAGGAGCAGTGTTCAGACCAGAGTCCTGTTGGCGAGTCAAGCCAACAACAAAGTCCCACAGCTTCACGGAAAGGTTCTTATAAACAGAATGAAGAATGTCCATTCCAACAGTTCGCTGCTTCTTCAGTGAACACAGAGAAACAGGAAAACAATGCTGGTTCTTCTGAACAGGACAGAGATAACAGAACTCATAAGTCAAAGCCAAAGCGATCCATCTGGAGATTCTTTAGCCCCGTCCCAAATCGCGCACCTTGCGCAGGGGACGCATTTTAAGAAGTGTGTTCTTTTTGAAAGTGCACATAAAGTGTACGAGTGTGCAAGTGCACAGTGCGCGAGAACTGCAGAATTGAGATCATCAACGTGCACCAGGACGCAGTAGTTTAGCATCATTCAAGATGGCGGAAAATTTGCTGCTCCAAAATATGCAGAAACACCAGCAAATTTGTTTTTTGAGACAAAGAAGGCGCAGACAATGGAGGAGGTTCATCCGCCAGGCTCTTGCCGTTGCGCAGGAGTCTGAATTGTTAAGTTAATTTAATTACAGAAGTAAGACCGTTATAACTAGGTTACTGCTAACGTGCTAGTGCCAGGAATAGGCTAAAGTGCATCGTTTTCTAACAAAGGTTCTTTCAGAAGCAGAAGCGTGACGTGAGGAACAACACTCAGAGCAACAGTCGTCGTGCTTGTTGTAATGGTTTCTTTTAAACTACTGCACAGAAGTCAGAGCCATCCTCGAGCTTTACTCCTGTTTCACGGACAAACTCTTTTGAACAAACTCACCCCTGGATTGGAAACACAGGAGTTAGCATGCTAGCTCTCCGTCTGGGTTTCCACTACTACACATGTTGCACCCCTGAAACAGGGAGAAAAAGATCACGAGAGTGATTTACGTGTTTTCCTCATGCGTGACTTTAATGCAATCCAGTCAAGAATAACAGCATTTAGAATTTCACTCTTCTCAGAACAACAAAAGTGCGGTACAAAATGGCGGAGCGCTGAAGAACAGTTGGGCATAACGTCTCTAAATTCAAACGCACACAAACGACTTACTAGCTTCTAAAAACACATCTTTGAACAGGAAAACACCTTGCAAAGTACACACTGACACATTAATAGTAAATCCTCTGCTCTTTACCTGAAACAGGGAGAAAAAGATCACGAGAGTGATTTACGTGTTTTCCTCATGCGTGACTTTAATGCAATGAGGATAAACAGCGGAAAGTCCCTCTTGTGGTGCGCGCAGGCATGACCAGTCGATCGAGAGTCCAAGACCTACTAGCTGATCTAACAAATAAACTATAATGCTAAAATATTAATAATCATGAAACATTTTAACATACTTTTAAAACTGTATCTATATCGTGCATTAAGGTTGTGTAAGTTATTAATTATTCTGAACTTATTATTTTTAAAATAACATTGTGAATAACCTATTACACTCTCCCCCACTTGACAGATGTCGTCCCGACATACTACAGAAAAGCACCAAAATCCTTTCAGTCGATGTTCACTCATTAGTCCATCAATCCAAAAACAAACCGGATCACTCTCATCTGTGGGCTTTACCCATTGCTTCACCACAGTATATGACTGAAGGTCGAATCTTTTATGAGCATATGCGAATCTCCATAATAGCAGTCTTTTGTCTGTGTGTCCATGAAAGGAAAAGTAGTATGACAGTCTTTACAGTTCTAATCCGGAAGTGTCGACTTACACTTGTTGTAGTCCATACATACCGAATGGTTGTGGGTAGTATGGCTGTAGAGCTGAAAACCACGGGATCAGACCTGGATACACAGGAATCAATTGTGGCGCAGGCTGGATGGTGTAGCAGGATGGTGTTCCCAGATGGTCGTAGGTCATTCGGCTCGGCGGGTGTCTCTCTCGTTGAGGGCGCTGGGGTATCAGCTCATCGGGTCCCTCAAGCACAGCAGGCGGTGGGGGGGCCAGTGGATTAACCGCAGTCGGATCAGCCTCCTCACGAGCTGGCTCCTCAGCAAGCAGCTCCGGCACGTCCAGGGGATCTCCACCAGTGACCTCTGGTGGTATAACAGGAGCTGGTGCTGGAGACTGACCTCTCACTACAGCAGGGCCTCTTGTTTCAGCAGGATCTGATGGCTGGAGCATGGTAGGCAAAGGTGGCACATAGTAAAAGCTGCACTCCTCACTGCTGTCATCATCAGAGTCCTCAATGTCTCTAGCCGTTTTGTCCCCCTTTTTCTGTTTTACAGGATTGTCTTGTTCTGGGTCTGACTCAAAAGGTAAACAATCACATGACATAAGTAAATTTCTGTGTAGCACTCTAGAGCGTCCTTTGCCTCTCTCAGGTTTAACCTCATAGATCGGGAGGTCAGGCCCCATTTGTCTGACTACTGTATGGATAGTGTCTTCCCAAAAGTTTTTTATTTTTCCTGGGCCTCCCCTTGGAGTCAGGTTTTTGACCAGGACTCTCTCACCGGGGTGGAACACAAAACTCCTCACTCTAGCATCAAAATGTCTTTTGCTTCTTTCAGCAGATTTCTTTGCATTCTCATTTGCAATGGCATAGGCCTCCTCCATCCCTCTTTTCCATCTTTCAACATAGTCTCTGTGGTCACTAAAATGGGTGTCTGAATACAGTCCAAAGAGCATATCTACTGGTAATCTGGGTGACCGCCCGAACAGTAGATAAAATGGAGAGTAACCAGTCACTTCACAGCGTGTACAGTTGTAAGAGTACATCAGCTTGTTGATAGACTCCTTCCAGTTCGACTTTTGTGTTTCAGTTAGTGTCTTCAACATTTGTAACAGTGTCCGATTCATGCGCTCAACTTGACCATTTCCCATTGGATGGTACGGTGTTGTCCTGGAGCCTGCAGTGCCACTGAGTTTCTTGAGCTGAGAGAATAACTGATTTTCAAATTCACCGCCTTGGTCATGGTGAATACGGCAAGGGAAACCAAATTTCAGGGCATAATCATTGAATATAAGATTTGCTGCGGTTTTCCCTGACTTTGAGGTTGTGGCATAAGCTTGTGCAAAGCGGGTGAAGTGGTCAACAATCACTAAAATATATTCATAACCGCCTTTGCATTTGTCAAGATGGAGAAAGTCTATACACACAAGTTCAAATGGCTGGGTTGTTACAATATTGATCATAGGAGCTTTTATATCACGGCTAGGTTTCTTCTGTTTAACACATGAGCAAACTTTGGTCACATAATGTTCAATATCTGATTGCATGTATGGCCAAAAGAAGCGGTCTCGTATAAGGGACACTGTGCGGTCTACACCTTGATGGCCCATACGGTTGTGCAATTCTTCAAGCACGGTCTTTTTAAACTTTTCTGGCAGGACAAGCTGTTTTCGGGCAGGCGTGGCTCTGTAGAGGATGCCATCCCTGTCAAGCATGAGTTTTTCCCATTCTCTGAACAGACATTTTGTTTTGGGGCTGAATGTGTTTACTATTTTGGTCAGTGGTCTTGAACCTGACTGTTTACATTGTAATACAGGACTTATAAACGGATCATTCTTTTGAGCTTCCCTTAAGTGGTCTTTCGGAATGGGTTTGAGTGATGCTATGGCTGGCTCACCTTGTGTTGTGACTGACACGGCTGCAGCTGACAATGTCCATGTGGCCAAGTGGTCATTTTGTACCTCTATGGCCTGAATAGCAGCTGAAATGGAGTTAGGAGGGAGTTCCTCTGAACAGTCTTTCATTAGTGTCTCTACATCAAGGGGCAATCTTGATAGCGCATCAGCGTCACCATTGTCTTTTCCAGGTTTGTATTTTATATCAAAGTGAAAGTCAGCGAGCTCTGCGACCCATCTCGACGTGGTTGCATTCAGTTTTGCTGTTGACAAAATGTATGTTAGCGGGTTGTTGTCGCTGAACACAGTGAATGTTGGGGCATAGTATAAATAGTCTCTAAATTTGTTTGTGATAGCCCATTTTAATGCCAAAAACTCTAGCTTCCCAGCATGGAGGTGGTAGTTATTTTCTGCTGCAGTTAGTGTGCGGGAGCCATAAGCAATAACTCGAAGTTTACCATCTTGTCTTTGATACAGCACTGCACCTAGACCTTGGTGTGAGGCGTCAGTGTGCACAATAAACGGTTGGGTGAAGTCCGGGAAACCAAGCACTGGTGGGTTGAGCAAACAGTTTATTAGTTCCTCAAGTGCACTTTGGTGTTGTTCAGTCCACTCTACTTGTTTTGTTGAAGGGACAACTTGACATGGTTTCTTTTGTTTTGTCTTTCTCCCTTTTGTCCTGTTCTCTGTGTCTTTGTCAGCTTTCAATAAGTCATACAGACAGCTTGCTTTTCGGGAAAAGTCCTTGATGTATTGTCTGTAGTAGGACAGAAGGCCTAACATTTTTCTGAGTTGACCTACATTTAGTGGTTTGATGTCTTTGAGTGCCCTTACTGCTTCGAAGTCAGCAGGGTCAACTCTACTGCCCTCTGCTGACACTATTCTGCCTAAGTAGCGCACTTCAGCTCTAAATATGTCGCACTTACTTGGTTTAAGTTTGATACCAAAGTCCCTTAGTCTCTGGAGCACTTTTCTCACCGCCTCCACGTGTTCTTTGAATGTTTTGCTGTAGACTAAGGTGTCATCCAGGTAAGGAATACAGATGTTGTCACGGAGTCCCTCCAGGCAATCCTCCATGCAGCGTTGAAATGCTGCAGGAGCATTCATTAGTCCAAAGGGGATGCGTATCCACTCATATAGTCCCCAGGGGGTCACAAAAGCGGTGAGTGGGCGACTTTCCTCTGACATGAACCCCTGGTGATACGCTTTGCCTTGATCTAACAGTGAAAACCAAAAATTACCACCTAAACCGTCCATAATATCCTGTACACGCGGAATGGGCTGGCGGTCCGGATGAGTTTTCCTATTCAAGTCTCTGTAATCTATGCACAGTCTTAAAGTGCCATCTTTCTTCCTAACGCACACAACAGGCGAAGAATATGATGAGTTTGATTTTCGGACCCAGCCTTGTGCTATTAGGTCATGTAAGTAATTTTTCATCTCTTGGTAAAGTGGACGTGGTACTGATATATATGTCCGTCTAACAGGCTCATTGTCTTTAAGTGCAATGGTCATCTTTAAATTTTCAATGTGGCCTATGTCATTTCAGTTTGTGAGAAAGACTCACATTCTTCTCTGAGCATTTGTTTAACTATAGCTGTCTGCTCTACACTTAAATGACTGAGATCTACAGGTGGGTCCCACTTCTCACTAGAGCCAAGTTGTGGTTGTGTGTTAGTGGTACTAACTGTAGCCACTGTGGCTTTCTCCAACATATGAGCAGGTAAGACAGTTGTAATAGTCTGAACTGTACCCACTACTGTTCGGCCTAAAAGGATAATATTATGATCTGTGGGGTTAGAGACATCTACTGTTATAACTGGTGAACTACCCCCTTTAACCTTAACCAATGTGTCAAAAAATTCAAGATTGTCTGGCCACTGAGGATTTAAATCAGGCTCAAATAGCATAGTCATGTCTTGTCTAAAAGGCTGTGAAGCCACCCGGCATTCAACTTGGATGTGACTTTGTTTAGGTACAGTTATACAGTCTTTCTTGGTTTTTACTTTAAACTCGTCTGTATCTGCACTAACAGCTTGGATGAAAGCTTTCACCTTATTTCTTCTGAGGCGGGGAAACGCTTTTCTCACTGTGCTGTAAACTTTTGCTTTTTCCGTCTTATTCAGGATATATTCAATTACATTGTAGCCTATAATGGGGTGTGACAGATAACAACCCTTCATTACCAGCATGGGGATGATCATTTTCTCAGGTGGATCAGTTCCGGCTACAAGTTGAAAAGGCGTTTCAATCCACCCGAGGTATGGCATACTGGTCCCATTGGCTGCAGTCAAGCTCAGTTCAGTTGAGTCCATAATCTCTGAGACCTCTCTCAATTTTGCCTGTGGAAAGCAGTCCTCTTTCCATCTTTCATCGATGATTGACACTTGTGATCCTGAATCCCACAGAGCTTGAAGTCTGTGGCCATCCAGGAGACACTCGACCAGACACTGTCTACCCACCAGTGATGTAATTTTGTGTGGGGAACCCATCTGAGCTTGGGGAAGTGGGATATAAACAGTCTCGTTGTCCTCATTTGATCTTAACCCAGGACATTGCTTCTTGTGTTCATACCAATGTGTTTTCTGGCAGAGTTTTGAACAATAAAGTGTCTTTTTGCATCCTGAACATTGTCTCAGAGTCTTATTTGTGTTTTCTTCTTCACAGTTGGTACATCTTTGGGACTTCTGGTGTGCGACGGTTAACACTTGTCCCTCTGTGGTAACCATTACTCGTTTAAATGCCTCCCTGAGGATGCTCTGGTACCTCTGTTTTTGCATCCAGCTTGAAAGTGTTCATCACTCCCGCAGAAGTAGCAGTGTGTGCAGTGCTCGATGGCTCTATTTTGCTGACAGGCATGACACCTCCTCTCTCTGCGGGCTGGGCGATTTGGATAGTTCTGCACTGGATACTGTGCTGGTGGTCTATACTGGGGTCCCTGGAACCTGTAGAATTGCTGCTGGGGGTCCCTGTCATACTGCATAAACGGTGGTGGGGCATATGACTGAGGGTGAGACACTGGCTGTTGTAGAGTCTCTTTAATCTGAGCTATCTCTGCACTGAGACCTTTCAGGGAGGCTACACCTGTCCTCAGCTCGGCTAACTCAGTAAATAGTTCAGGAGGTATTTTAGTTTTTACGTCTTTCACTGTGGACTTTACTTCCTCTAACTTGACTGTGCTAATATTTGTGGCTGACTGTGTGACTAAGCACCTTTTCTTATTCTTTCTCTCTGCTTCATTGGCACAAGCTATGTTTACCCTCTCCAACAGAAGCTCATCAGGGGTCTCAGAATCTAACAGGAGTGGCTGCATGTCTATCCTGACACTATCACTCTGAAGACCTGTGAGTATGGTGTGTAAGCACATACGCTGGACTAAAGCTGGGTCATATTTAAGCCCTGATTCTGACTCTTGTGACGCAAACAAGACTTTCTGCTTCAAATCCTAAAACCCTCATCAGGAAGCTCTGAGCAGTCTCTTTAGGGCTCTGTACCTCTGAAGCTAACTGTTTGTAGAGTTCCGTGGCACTCTTCTCTTGAAAATGGGAGCGGAGAATGCGGCGTAGAGTGGGTAAGGTGAGCTGAGTCTTTCCCTCCAAGTAGCTGCGTAGTTGTAGACCTGGCACAATGGATTTAATGACAGCATCTACAATGTCAAGCTCTGAGTAGCCTCTGGTCAGACCATTTTCAATTTGATGAGCCAGACTCGAAAATGTCAATTTATCCTTCTGGCCCGGTTCACCTATTTGGCCTGATATTTTAAAATCTTTCTGCCAAAAGGGACCTGATTGTTGGGGACAGGATGGGCTACTTTCAGGGCGGCTACTCGAGACAATTTGGAGTTGTGCAACTCTCTCAGTTACCCCTGAAGTAGCATGTGGTTGCTCTATGTGGCCCAAACCACCACTTTCTTCTGCATTTTGTCCATTCGCGTCATTTTCGGCTTTAATTAATTCTGTAATTTTGTCATTTAACACCAACAGATCTGATGTTCCTTCATCTTCAAAAGTTCCCATTTCCTCTCTCTCAATGTACATCTGGATATGTGTTAGCAGCGACAGGCGAGTTTTAGTGCTGGCCTTTATTGTATCTGCTGTACCCATAAACTCACAGATGGACACCAATTTTTCTTTGGGCAACTTGTGCAAATTACGCACAATTTCTTCTCGCAGCTGCTCAAGCACTGACATAGTGGCAGTAGACAGTGGAAGTCTTGCAGGTACTGGTGACGTTGAGCGGTGGGGTCTTTGCGGCTCCTGATGATCTCTGAACGGTCTCAGGACGCGTAGACTGGAACACAGCTGCCAACTCTCCGTAAAAGCAACACCTTCCAAGCTGCAGTCTGCCTGGGTTGTGTGGGGGGAGTAGCCAACTTTGATTAGGTGTACAAGCTATGGACACCACACATCTAAGCAGCTATCCCAGCGGTGCCTCCAAATGTTGCACCCCTGAAACAGGGAGAAAAAGATCACGAGAGTGATTTACGTGTTTTCCTCATGCGTGACTTTAATGCAATCCAGTCAAGAATAACAGCATTTAGAATTTCACTCTTCTCAGAACAACAAAAGTGCGGTACAAAATGGCGGAGCGCTGAAGAACAGTTGGGCATAAGTCTCTAAATTCAAACGCACACAAACGACTTACTAGCTTCTAAAAACACATCTTTGAACAGGAAAACACCTTGCAAAGTACACACTGACACATTAATAGTAAATCCTCTGCTCTTTACCTGAAACAGGAGAAAAAGATCACGAGAGTGATTTACGTGTTTTCCTCATGCGTGACTTTAATGCAATGAGGATAAACAGCGGAAAGTCCCTCTTGTGGTGCGCGCAGGCATGACCAGTCGATCGAGAGTCCAAGACCTACTAGCTGATCTAACAAATAAACTATAATGCTAAAATATTAATAATCATGAAACATTTTAACATACTTTTAAAACTGTATCTATATCGTGCATTAAGGTTGTGTAAGTTATTAATTATTCTGAACTTATTATTTTTAAAATAACATTGTGAATAACCTATTACACACACATGCACAAAGGCTGGTAGAGAAACACAATCTGCAGATGTTAGTGCAAGTTTGGTTTCACCTGGCTTTAAAAAGGTTCTTTGAGAGCTTTGTGCCCTGAGATGAGTCTATATAGAGGCTTATGGCAGGAAGACAAAGACAGTGAAGAAAGAATGCCCGGTCCATCTGTTTGCATTAAAGCCTAGCACTCACACTCTCTGCTTCTTCAGTGAAGATGGAGAAACAAGAGAACAATGTTAAATCTTCTGAGTCCAAGCCAAAGCGTTCTGTACGGATCTTTTTAAAACGCCAACAGAAAAAGTCTAGAGTCAAACAGAAGCCGCTTGAGTCTCGTTCAGATCAGAGTTCTGTTGAGGAGCCAAGCTACACATCGAGTCATGAAATATCTCTCTCACCTGGATTTAAAAAGGTTGCTTTGAGAGCTTTGTGCCCTGAGAGGAGTCTATACAGAGGCTTCTTGCAGGAAAGACAAAGACAGTCAATCAAATCAATCACATTTTATTCATAAGGCTTTTTATAAAAACAATGCAACACAAAGTGCTTTACAGTTTAGTTAAAAACAAACCAATATGCCCAGCCCTAAACCCCACCGCCCCAGAGACCCCCACAAGGTCCAGGAGTAAGATCCTCATAGGACCCAGAGGAGAGAGGAGGCCCCAGACCCCCACTAGGTCCAGGAGTCAGACCCTCATAGGACCCAGAAGAGAGAGGAGGCCCCAGACCCCCACTAGGTCCAGGAGTCAGACCCCAGCTCCCGGTGCAGAGGGCTCCTCCAGAGGAAACACTGGGGATACTAAAACAATAGAGAGTAAACCATTAAAATGTGAAACAAAAAAGAAAATGGCAGCTGCCTAATATCAATAATAACAATAGTAAATGGGAAGATAAAATAAATAAATAAAAACCTAAATAGAATGTGTCTAAAAACATAAATAAATGTATTAAAACGCAATAATAAATAATAAATAGTAATCAAAAGCTAATCTATAAAAGTGTGTCTTGAGCCTGCTTTTAAAAATGTGAATGTTCTCTGCAAGAAGACAAAGTGAAGACAAAGACTGGACCAATAAAAAAAACTTTTATTGGTCTAGTCCACTCGGTCGCTGCAAAGAAATCAACATGAGAAAGATGAGTCCAAAGAGCTGAGTCCGACAGGTTCTTCTAAACAGAAAGAATGCCCGGTCCATCTGTTTGCATTAAAGCCTAGCACTCACACTCTCTGCTTCTTCAGTGAAGATGGAGAAACAAGAGAACAATGTTAAATCTTCTGAGTCCAAGCCAAAGCGTTCTGTACGGATCTTTTTAAAACGCCAACAGAAAAAGTCTAGAGACAAACAGAAGCCGCTTGAGTCTCGTTCAGATCAGAGTTCTGTTGAGGAGCCAAGCTACACATCGAGTCATGAAATATCTCTCTCACCTGGATTTAAAAAGGTTGCTTTGAGAGCTTTGTGCCCTGAGAGGAGTCTATACAGAGGCTTCTTGCAGGAAAGACAAAGACAGATGTCTCATGGTATCTCACCTGCCGCCCGGAGACAAAGACAGATGTCTCATGGTATCTCACCTGCCGCCCGGAGACAAAGACAGATGTCTCATGGTATCTCACCTGCCGCCCGGAGACAAAGACAGATGTCTCATGGTATCTCACCTGCCGCCCGGAGACAAAGACAGATGTCTCATGGTATCTCACCTGCCGCCCGGAGACAAAGACAGATGTCTCATGGTATCTCACCTGCCGCCCGGAGACAAAGACAGATGTCTCATGGTATCTCACCTGCCGCCCGGAGATAGTGTGAAAACGGCCTCACTCCAGTCTTTGCTGACATTTTTAACACCTCGTTGGAGTCTTGTCACGTCCTGAACCTATCAAGGACGACACCACTCTCATTGGACTCATCTCCAACAACCATGAGTCCGCCTACAGGAGGAGGTGTCCTGGTGTCTCCTACAGGAGGAGGTGTCCTGGTGTCTCCTACAGGAGGAGGTGTCCTGGTGTCTCCTACAGGAGGAGGTGTCCTGGTGTCTCCTACAGGAGGAGGTGTCCTGGTGTCTCCTATAGGAGGAGGTGGACTGGTGTCTCCTACAGGAGGAGGTGTCCTGGTGTCTCCTACAGGAGGAGGTGTCCTGGTGTCTCCTACAGGAGGAGGTGTCCTGGTGTCTCCTATAGGAGGAGGTGGACTGGTGTCTCCTACAGGAGGAGGTGGACTGGTGTCTCCTACAGGAGGAGGTGTCCTGGTGTCTCCTACAGGAGGAGGTGGACTGGTGTCTCCTACAGGAGGAGGTGGACTGGTGTCTCCTACAGGAGGAGGTGGACTGGTGTCTCCTACAGGAGGAGGTGGACTGGTGTCTCCTACAGGAGGAGGTGGACTGGTGTCTCCTACAGGAGGAGGTGGACTGGTGTCTCCTACAGGAGGAGGTGGACTGGTGTCTTCTCCTGGTGCAGTGGTAACAACCTGGAGCTGAGCACAGTCCTCCCGCCCCCCCTCATGGACCCCCCCTCATGGACCCCCCATCACCACTCTAAGTCTATTGTGTGCACTAAGTGCACTTGTATACAGTGAATAGTATCTTTACTGATGCCTCAGACTGGAAATGTCAGTGTTGCAGCACACATTAACCACAGCAACAATAAAAGGAGCAAAACCAGATGTGGGAAATAATAAAATATAAAAATCTTTATGCATATACGTCTGAGAGTTTCATTTTCAATTGTGTACAAATCCTGTCAGACCTCTGAAGCCAAGCAGGCTAGGTCCAGGTTAGTGCTGTGATGGGAGACCTCTGGGAACAGCAGGTGCCACAGTGGGGCGGCTGTGGCTGTAAAGTGCCAAACTGTGGTTGTGTCCTTAGGCAAGACACTTCCCCCACATTAGAATGAGTCTGGTGTGTGTGTGAATGGTTGGTGGTGGTGGGAGGGGCCGATGGCACAGACTGGTTGCCTCGCTTCAGTCAGTGTGCCCCAGGGCAGCTGTGGCTACAGTAGCTTCTCACCACGGTGTTTGGAGAGAAACAATATGATATATGTTTCACTGTATGAAACTGATGCATTATTGTGTTTGTGTAGTGTGTGTTGCCGTGGGAACGCCCCGGTGCAGACAGAAACACACACAGCTGTAGTTTGACACTTGAATAATTCTTTATTCTGTCCCTGTCACAAACGCTCACGACACGCCACAGTTCAACACGTCCATCCACGATCGTGCAACATGGAGCCGACACGCAGCTCTGCACACCGCCACCGCCAAACCCACCGCCCAGACCGAGACCGGAGCCAGGGACCAGGGCGAGGGACCAGAATGCACCTTGGCCAGAGCACATCAAAGAGACAGCTTTCCTCAGCGTTTGCCCAAATCATGAATCAAAAGATCCGAATTACAGCGGGATAAACATCAAGAATGTATCTTTTTAACAATGAATGAATGAAAGTGAAGTTCTTCTCTCTCTTCTCTAGTTTTCATGCTGTATTTTGGTCCTCACAAGAGAGAGACTCCGTGATTATCCAGCTGTTTTATTTTCTTGATTGGCTGTGGATCCGTGTGCAGAGCCGGTCACTGTCACTGATACGAGAGTTTTAAAGCACTTCAAATAAATATATCAAACAAAAAACAACAGTAAACAAAACCTTCCCTCAGAACTTTTACAAACTTAGAATCATTTACAGCAATAAGAGCACTCGCAATCAAAGGAATAAATTAACATCGGTTTTCAAAAAGAAATAAGAAAAGACCTGTTGGAACTTAAGCGCAGTCCAGTGGTTTTGGTTCGATCCATGAGAGACTCTTTGGGCAGAAGCTTCTCAGACTTTCACTTCAGCCACGTTACAATGTTACCACCAAAAACTAACTTTAGATTCTCTTTTGAAAGACCACAACAGAGTCACAGACTCATGTGAAGTTACATACATCTAGGCCAGGGGTCTCCAGCTCCCTCACAGAGAGAGCTACTTTCTCAGGTCGAAAATGGCAGAGAGCTACTCCTTTTACCGCTACTTGCTATGTCTTTCCTATCCGCTGTCAGACTGTACAACGAAGAACGAAGACTAACGGACACTGCCGACCTGACCTCACATGTCGTGCATCTGTGCAATAATCAGAACTATTGCGTCACTTTCACTGTCTTTGCCTCTTTATTACGCCAAAGTTAGCGGTTTTAAACTTGCTTCTTTACAGAGACTTTAGAGTGCTAAAGAGAGAGGCTTTTAATTATTTAGTTTCATTGCTCATTAATCTTGTGCTCCTCATTCTTACTGTTCTATGTTTAACTCCTGAGCTAAAGGGTTAGAGACCTCTGTTCTAGAGACTGAAGGTTTTGCCAATTTGTCTAAACAAAACAACTCCTACTTGAGTATTCAGCAGTCAAACACGGTCTTTGCCACCAAATCCGGCCTACGGTCTCTGGCCTATGATCGCCTAAGGTCCCCGGCCTACGGTCTCTGGCCTACGGTCTCTGGCCTACGGTCTCTGGCCTACGGTCCCTGGCCTATGATCGCCTATGGTTCCCGGCCTATGGTCCCCGGCCTTGGTCTCCGGCCTATTCGCCGGCCTATGATCGCCTAAGGTCCCCGGCCTATGGTCTCCGGCCTAAGGTCCCCGGCCTAAGGTCCCCGGCCTATGATCACCTAAGGTCCCCGGCCTATGGTCCCCGGCCTATGGTCTCCGGCCTATGATCGCCTAAAGTCCCCGGCCTAAGGTCCCCGGCCTAAGGTCCCCGGCCTAAGGTCCCCGGCCTAAGGTCCCCGGCCTAAGGTCCCCGGACTAAGGTCCCCGGACTAAGGTCCCCGGACTAAGGTCCCCGGACTAAGGTCCCCGGACTAAGGTCCCCGGACTAAGGTCTCTGGACTATGGTCTCTGGACTATAGGTGTCCGGTCTATGGTCTCAAACAGTCTCATGTCTCTTCCCATGACTTTGTTGTGGTCTTTCATGTTGTTTTGCTTTCTTTTCCCTTTTGAACTTAATATTGAAATGTATAAAGTAAAATCTTGAAAATTCAAAAAAGGAAAAATCAAATGTCTAAGTATCTCTGGTTTTGAAACCCACTGTTTGAAATCTGATAAATCTCTCAGAGGATGTCGTCTCCAAACCGACTGCTCTGAGCTTTTGGAACCAGGCGCGATGCAAAGTCTCGGCACGTCTCGCAGCCACAGTCGCCTCACAAATGTTTTATCAGCTAAAACAACCCGTCTTTGACACAGTGCGGAGTCTGCGCAGTCGTAAAGTGCAAGGCGCGACCGTAAACATTTTGAAGCAGGTTTGAAATCGGTCCAATCAGAGAAACGTGAAGGCGAGACGTAAAGGTGCAGCCTGTGACTCCGGGACTCTTCACACACAACATCTGTCACAGAACCACTTTATCTGGAGCAAGTTTTCAGCTCAGAGACTTAGACAGAAGTCGTGGATCTGAGAACTGGGTTTAAGGTCTGGTGAGCTGAGGTCCTGCCCATTAGACTGTATATGTGGGAATGGACAATGCTAACCGGCTAGCTCTATGGTTTCATCTGTGGTGTGATCTTGGCCTCAGATCTAGTTATGAGCTCAACAACCGACCAATCAAGAGCCTTCTGTCCCTACATTTGAGTTCAGCAGCAAATGAACTCAACACTGAACACTGTGGGACGCATAAAGGATTTCTTAAATGGCGCTAATGGGACCGGACCAGTGCCGCTTTTTACTTGCTATGTCCTTGCTATGATCGAGCAAATTTGGCTTCAGATTCTTGCCCATGGAGCCTGTCTGAGCTAGCCCCAACTGTCCCGGGGAAAGACACTTAAGTCAGCACTAACGACCCTCTGTGGGGCAGAACCAAAGCTCACCACAGCTTTCTCCAGTTAAATTATGACAGTGAGTCAAAACATCTCTCAAGACTTTCCACAGAGCCATAGACTGTAAACAAGTGGACGATGCCAACTCGCTAGCTCAATGTATCCCACAAAGGACTTACTGAGCTGGAGGTGTTTTTACTATTAAATGCAACCCTAGTATAGCGCCCTCTATGATCCTGGAGTTTGTATTGTGATATTGTTTCATCAGGAGCCTTCAGTCCCCAAATTTGACTTTTAGACTGGACAGGTCCTGATTGGCTCCTGATTGACTCCACATTAACGCATAAATAGCCTGTTCGAGTTAGCTCTAATCAGCTCTAAAAACCTATAGTGATGTCCCGCTGTCAGTGCGCTCCTTGTACACAGTCTATAGATGAAACTTCTGTATATTCCACTGCTTGTATAAATCCGTGTTTTTTCGTCTTCATTTTGGCATTTCCTGTTTGCGAACGTGAGCAATGCATAGGAAAGATATGTTACGAAAAAGCAGCAGTCCGACAGCTTTAAGTACACCTTTACAGACCGACAGAACGATAGTCCACGCGTGTTTTCTTAGCTAGTCACTTTCCCGCCTTTCGCCCCCAAACTATGCGTCTAAAACTAAACTTAAATTGCATATATCAAACGACGTTGAAACCATTTCTCCTTTTTCCCTTTGTTTTGTTTGTACCTGGGTTGAGTCCTGCCACGTCTGAAACTTGTAAAGCACACACACAATTACAAATGGTTTTAAATGCTGAGGCGTCGCGACCGTAGCACACCACGCTAGGCTAAAGTTAGCGGCTACGTTAGCATGCAGGGACAACACGTTTAACACCGTAGAGCTGCTGTACGAGGGGCTGTAGAGACATAGAGCAAGCTGGACTTTCACTTGTTCCTCTTAAAAACGTTGATAACTTGATTTAACTTCAATTAAAGCTCATGTACGTGACTTTCAAACCGGAACAAGGGAACTCCAAAGAAATCTATGTCACTAGTTCTTGGCGCTAAACAGTTTGCTTCTACAACTAGTCTTTTTAACATCTATTTTTGGCCTCGGTATTATTTTGAGATTCGTTTTTTTCCCGACAGAAAAGTCAAAAGATCCCAAAGAGTCAAAAAGTGACTCACATGCGTCTTTCTTACGAATAGAGGCACAACAAATAGAGGCTGTCGTGTTCAATTATGAAATCACAGCACCTGATTTTTCCATCCAACGACTAAAATATACTTAGTAATAGAATCTCTTAAGTTTTGGTCTCAGCCTGACTTACTGGGATCTTTCTAACACAAAAAATAACCTATTTTCTATTTAGATGGACAGAATATTGGTGGTTTTTCAGTTTTATGTAACTCATATTTAAGTTTTCCTGTTCTATGTTCGGTAGAAGTCGGTAAATTCAAGCTAATGCTAAATTGTTGAATCAATTTTAAAGCCCTTGAAACAGCTCTAAGGTTAAACATGTCCATATGTTCACGCACAGTGTCTTACGGAAGCAGCGAAGCCAGCTCCTGTCGAGTACCGCCGGGAAAATACAAAAAATATAGATCTTTAGTCGTAATAACAATAATAATATTAATAGCTCTGAAACCACACACAAGGCAAAAACTCAAAAAACAAAACAAATCTAACTCTTTTCAAATACAATCGTTGCAAAGACTGAGAAAACCTCTGATAAAGAGATATTTTCACATAACTTTTCAAGTATATTCCTCTTACTAATATGACAACAGCACGTTCACACCACAGTCCATCGAGAACAGGTATTTTTTGTTCACCACAAAGTCACGGCCGCACAACACTTAAATTATCCACAATAATTACAAGTTACATTCGTTGGTTGGATATATTTTTTGCAACACTTAAGGTTTTTGTTCGGGTCCAAAGTCCTCATGGCAGTAGCGACGAATAAATAAGGCTTAAAACGAAAGAAATTAAAACACGTTAAAAAAATCCCACTTTGAAATCCAGATGGAGGAACCAGCGCGCACACACACACACACACACACACACACGCGCGCACACACACATACATACAAGCACCCACACAAATACACATACAAGCGCGCGCACACACACACACACGCGCATATAATCCATTTGTTCCGGGGTCTTTTGGCTCCGTCGATGCGCGACACATAGCTCTTTGATGATGGCAAGGTCAAAGATCAAAGCTTCGGGATCCCACAGGACGGTGTGTGGTCAGGAGCCGCGTCCTCAGTAGCGGCTCCTGAAAGAGGCGCCGGTTTCAGGGTAAATGAACACAAACTCTTCAGTTGCCTGAGAAATCGTCGCTGGACTTCAGCTCCAGAGTTCCTAAAAGAAGAAAGACAAAATATGTGACAAAAATCCCAGGCTTAAAACAGTCCTTTTTTTATCTGTCATGATTGTGACCTCAGCTGTAGTCGGTTCATTGCTATTTACCCGCTGATAATGGGACCCCTGAACCCGGCCTCCTCCCTCTGCACCTGTGGACTGTCCTGGCCCAGATTCGTAAATTCGCAGTCAGATTGTGGTGAATTTTAGAATAAAGCAACTACTTATATTTGTGATGTGTGTCTTGACTGAAGATATTTGAACAGAACACAGACCCACAGGCTCCTCTTCAGTTCCTGTTTGGATCTCGGTGTTTGTACCTGATAAGGAGCTGTTGGACTTCTGCTTGTGCAGCTTCTCTCTCTCCTTCTTCACTTTGGGAATGATCTTCAGCTTCATACTGCTGCTGCTGCTTTTACTGCTGCGCACCGAGTCCTGAGCAGAGGGCACAGGTCAGAGAGCAGAGGTCACAGGTCACACACTAACATCTAACAGCAGAGGTCACAGGTCAGAGAGCAGAGGTCACAGGTCACACACTAACATCTAACAGAAGAAGTCACAGGTCAGAGAGCAGAGGTCACAGGTCACACAATAACATCTAACAGCAGAGGTCACACACTAACATCTAACAGCAGAGGTCACAGGTCAGAGAGCAGAGGTCACAGGTCACACAATAACATCTAACAGCAGAGGTCACACACTAACATCTAACAGCAGAGGTCACAGGTCAGAGAGCAGAGGTCACAGGTCACACACTAACATCTAACAGCAAAGGTTACAGGTCAGAGAGCAGAGGTCACAGGTCACACACTAACATCTAACAGCAGAGGTCACAAGTCAGAGAGCAGAGGTCACAGGTCACACACTAACATCTAACAGCAGAAGTCACAGGTCAGAGAGCAGAGGTCACAGGTCACACACTAACATCTAACAGCAGAAGTCACAGGTCAGAGAGCAGAGGTCACAGGTCACACACTAACATCTAACAGCAGAAGTCACAGGTCAGAGAGCAGAGGTCACAGGTCACACACTAACATCTAACAGCAGAAGTCACAGGTCAGAGAGCAGAGGTCACAGGTCACACACTAACATCTAACAGCAGAGGTCACAGGTCACACACTAACATCTAACAGCAGAAGTCACAGGTCAGAGAGTAGAGGTCACAGGTCAGAGAGCAGAGGTCACAGGTCAGAGAGCAGAGGTCACAGGTCACACACTAACATCTAACAGAAGAAGTCACAGGTCAGAGAGCAGAGGTCACAGGTCACACAATAACATCTAACAGCAGAGGTCACACACTAACATCTAACAGCAGAGGTCACAGGTCAGAGAGCAGAGGTCACAGGTCACACACTAACATCTAACAGCAGAAGTCACAGGTCAGAGAGCAGAGGTCACAGGTCACACACTAACATCTAACAGCAGAAGTCACAGGTCAGAGAGCAGAGGTCACAGGTCACACACTAACATCTAACAGCAGAAGTCACAGGTCAGAGAGCAGAGGTCACAGGTCACACACTAACATCTAACAGCAGAAGTCACAGGTCAGAGAGCAGAGGTCACAGGTCACACACTAACATCTAACAGCAGAAGTCACAGGTCAGAGAGCAGAGGTCACAGGTCACACACTAACATCTAACAGCAGAAGTCACAGGTCAGAGAGCAGAGGTCACAGGTCACACACTAACATCTAACAGCAGAAGTCACAGGTCAGAGAGCAGAGGTCACAGGTCACACACTAACATCTAACAGCAGAAGTCACAGGTCAGAGAGTAGAGGTCACAGGTCAGAGAGCAGAGGTCACAGGTCAGAGAGCAGAGGTCACAGGTCACACACTAACATCTAACAGCAGAAGTCACAGGTCAGAGAGCAGAGGTCACAGGTCACACACTAACATCTAACAGCAGAGGTCACAGGTCACACACTAACATCTAACAGCAGAAGTCACAGGTCAGAGAGTAGAGGTCACAGGTCAGAGAGCAGAGGTCACAGGTCAGAGAGCAGAGGTCACAGGTCACACTAACATCTGGTACCTTTATACACATGTGTCAACAGTTGTGGACAGGGGTCGTCCCGCTCCCTTTGAACCCATGCCTGTTTGTTATTGTGTTTCCTGTGTGTGAACTGAGTGATTTTCTGATCTGTGTTGGCAGATCCACAACTTTGTAAAGAGATCCTGTTGTGATGTCCTCACCTCTGCGCTGCACTGCATCAGAGGACAGATCCAGTGGATGTCATCCAGTTTGTGCAGCTCTGCGCTCAGAGAGTTCAGAGTGGTCCTCAGCTCCTCCTCCTCCTCACACCGAGACTGCAACAACACCAGACAGTTACGGTCTCCTCTGTGGATCTAAACCCACCTCAGCTCCTCCTCACACTGAGACTGCAACAACACCAGACAGTTACGGTCTCCTCTGTGGATCTAAACCCACCTCAGCTCCTCCTCACACTGAGACTGCAACAACACCAGACAGTTACGGTCTCCTCTGTGGAGCTAAACCCACCTCAGCTCCTCCTCCTCCTCACACTGAGACTGCAACAACACCAGACAGTTACGGTCTCCTCTGTGGAGCTAAACCCACCTCAGCTCCTCCTCCTCCTCACACTGAGACTGCAACAACACCAGACAGTTACGGTCTCCTCTGTGGAGCTAAACCCACCTCAGCTCCTCCTCACACCGAGACTGCAACAACACCAGACAGTTACGGTCTCCTCTGTGGATCTAAACCCACCTCAGCTCCTCCTCACACTGAGACTGCAACAACACCAGACAGTTACGGTCTCCTCTGTGGAGCTAAACCCACCTCAGCTCCTCCTCCTCCTCACACTGAGACTGCAACAACACCAGACAGTTACGGTCTCCTCTGTGGATCTAAACCCACCTCAGCTCCTCCTCACACTGAGACTGCAACAACACCAGACAGTTACGGTCTCCTCTGTGGAGCTAAACCCACCTCAGCTCCTCCTCACACTGAGACTGCAACAACACCAGACAATTACGGTCTCCTCTGTGGATCTAAACCCACCTCAGCTCCTCCTCCTCCTCACACTGAGACTGCAACAACACCAGACAGTTACGGTCTCCTCTGTGGAGCTAAACCCACCTCAGCTCCTCCTCCTCCTCACACTGAGACTGCAACAACACCAGACAGTTACGGTCTCCTCTGTGGAGCTAAACCCACCTCAGCTCCTCCTCCTCCTCACACTGAGACTGCAACAACACCAGACAGTTACGGTCTCCTCTGTGGAGCTAAACCCACCTCAGCTCCTCCTCCTCCTCACACTGAGACTGCAACAACACCAGACAGTTACGGTCTCCTCTGTGGAGCTAAACCCACCTCAGCTCCTCCTCACACCGAGACTGCAACAACACCAGACAGTTACGGTCTCCTCTGTGGATCTAAACCCACCTCAGCTCCTCCTCACACTGAGACTGCAACAACACCAGACAGTTACGGTCTCCTCTGTGGAGCTAAACCCACCTCAGCTCCTCCTCCTCCTCACACTGAGACTGCAACAACACCAGACAGTTACGGTCTCCTCTGTGGAGCTAAACCCACCTCAGCTCCTCCTCCTCCTCACACTGAGACTGCAACAACACCAGACAGTTACGGTCTCCTCTGTGGATCTAAACCCACCTCAGCTCCTCCTCACACTGAGACTGCAACAACACCAGACAGTTACGGTCTCCTCTGTGGAGCTAAACCCACCTCAGCTCCTCCTCCTCCTCACACTGAGACTGCAACAACACCAGACAGTTACGGTCTCCTCTGTGGAGCTAAACCCACCTCAGCTCCTCCTCCTCCTCACACCGAGACTGCAACAACACCAGACAGTTACGGTCTCCTCTGTGGATCTAAACCCACCTCAGCTCCTCCTCCTCCTCACACTGAGACTGCAACAACACCAGACAGTTACGGTCTCCTCTGTGGAGCTAAACCCACCTCAGCTCCTCCTCCTCCTCACACTGAGACTGCAACAACACCAGACAGTTACGGTCTCCTCTGTGGAGCTAAACCCACCTCAGCTCCTCCTCCTCCTCACACTGAGACTGCAACAACACCAGACAGTTACGGCCTCCTCTGTGAAGCTAAACCCACCTCAGCTCCTCCTCACACTGAGACTGCAACAACACCAGACAGTTACGGTCTCCTCTGTGGATCTAAACCCACCTCAGCTCCTCCTCCTCCTCACACCGAGACTGCAACAACACCAGACAGTTACGGTCTCCTCTGTGGATCTAAACCCACCTCAGCTCCTCCTCTTCCTCACACTGAGACTGCAACAACACCAGACAGTTACGGTCTCCTCTGTGGAGCTAAACCCACCTCAGCTCCTCCTCCTCCTCACACTGAGACTGCAACAACACCAGACAGTTACGGTCTCCTCTGTGGATCTAAACCCACCTCAGCTCCTCCTCCTCCTCACACTGAGACTGCAACAACACCAGACAGTTACGGTCTCCTCTGTGGAGCTAAACCCACCTCAGCTCCTCCTCACACTGAGACTGCAACAACACCAGACAGTTACGGTCTCCTCTGTGGAGCTAAACCCACCTCAGCTCCTCCTCCTCCTCACACTGAGACTGCAACAACACCAGACAGTTACGGTCTCCTCTGTGGAGCTAAACCCACCTCAGCTCCTCCTCACACCGAGACTGCAACAACACCAGACAGTTACGGTCTCCTCTGTGGATCTAAACCCACCTCAGCTCCTCCTCACACTGAGACTGCAACAACACCAGACAGTTACGGTCTCCTCTGTGGATCTAAACCCACCTCAGCTCCTCCTCCTCCTCACACTGAGACTGCAACAACACCAGACAGTTACGGTCTCCTCTGTGGAGCTAAACCCACCTCAGCTCCTCCTCACACCGAGACTGCAACAACACCAGACAGTTACGGTCTCCTCTGTGGATCTAAACCCACCTCAGCTCCTCCTCTTCCTCACACTGAGACTGCAACAACACCAGACAGTTACGGTCTCCTCTGTGGAGCTAAACCCACCTCAGCTCCTCCTCCTCCTCACACTGAGACTGCAACAACACCAGACAGTTACGGTCTCCTCTGTGGAGCTAAACCCACCTCAGCTCCTCCTCTTCCTCACACTGAGACTGCAACAACACCAGACAGTTACGGTCTCCTCTGTGGAGCTAAACCCACCTCAGCTCCTCCTCACACTGAGACTGCAACAACACCAGACAGTTACGGTCTCCTCTGTGGAGCTAAACCCACCTCAGCTCCTCCTCACACTGAGACTGCAACAACACCAGACAGTTACGGTCTCCTCTGTGGAGCTAAACCCACCTCAGCTCCTCCTCCTCACACTGAGACTGCAACAACACCAGACAGTTACGGCCTCCTCTGTGAAGCTAAACCCACCTCAGCTCCTCCTCCTCCTCACACCGAGACTGCAACAACACCAGACAGTTACGGTCTCCTCTGTGGAGCTAAACCCACCTCAGCTCCTCCTCTTCCTCACACTGAGACTGCAACAACACCAGACAGTTACGGTCTCCTCTGTGGAGCTAAACCCACCTCAGCTCCTCCTCCTCCTCACACCGAGACTGCAACAACACCAGACAGTTACGGTCTCCTCTGTGGATCTAAACCCACCTCAGCTCCTCCTCCTCCTCACACTGAGACTGCAACAACACCAGACAGTTACGGTCTCCTCTGTGGAGCTAAACCCACCTCAGCTCCTCCTCCTCCTCACACTGAGACTGCAACAACACCAGACAGTTACGGTCTCCTCTGTGGAGCTAAACCCACCTCAGCTCCTCCTCCTCCTCACACTGAGACTGCAACAACACCAGACAGTTACGGTCTCCTCTGTGGAGCTAAACCCACCTCAGCTCCTCCTCCTCCTCACACCGAGACTGCAACAACACCAGACAGTTACGGTCTCCTCTGTGGAGCTAAACCCACCTCAGCTCCTCCTCACACCGAGACTGCAACAACACCAGACAGTTACGGTCTCCTCTGTGGAGCTAAACCCACCTCAGCTCCTCCTCCTCCTCACACTGAGACTGCAACAACACCAGACAGTTACGGTCTCCTCTGTGGAGCTAAACCCACCTCAGCTCCTCCTCCTCCTCACACTGAGACTGCAACAACACCAGACAGTTACGGTCTCCTCTGTGGATCTAAACCCACCTCAGCTCCTCCTCACACTGAGACTGCAACAACACCAGACAGTTACGGTCTCCTCTGTGGAGCTAAACCCACCTCAGCTCCTCCTCCTCCTCACACTGAGACTGCAACAACACCAGACAGTTACGGTCTCCTCTGTGGAGCTAAACCCACCTCAGCTCCTCCTCCTCCTCACACTGAGACTGCAACAACACCAGACAGTTACGGTCTCCTCTGTGGAGCTAAACCCACCTCAGCTCCTCCTCTTCCTCACACTGAGACTGCAACAACACCAGACAGTTACGGTCTCCTCTGTGGATCTAAACCCACCTCAGCTCCTCCTCACACTGAGACTGCAACAACACCAGACAGTTACGGTCTCCTCTGTGGAGCTAAACCCACCTCAGCTCCTCCTCCTCCTCACACCGAGACTGCAACAACACCAGACAGTTACGGTCTCCTCTGTGGATCTAAACCCACCTCAGCTCCTCCTCCTCCTCACACTGAGACTGCAACAACACCAGACAGTTACGGTCTCCTCTGTGGAGCTAAACCCACCTCAGCTCCTCCTCCTCCTCACACTGAGACTGCAACAACACCAGACAGTTACGGTCTCCTCTGTGAAGCTAAACCCACCTCAGCTCCTCCTCACACCGAGACTGCAACAACACCAGACAGTTACGGTCTCCTCTGTGGATCTAAACCCACCTCAGCTCCTCCTCACACTGAGACTGCAACAACACCAGACAGTTACGGTCTCCTCTGTGGAGCTAAACCCACCTCAGCTCCTCCTCCTCCTCACACTGAGACTGCAACAACACCAGACAGTTACGGCCTCCTCTGTGAAGCTAAACCCACCTCAGCTCCTCCTCACACTGAGACTGCAACAACACCAGACAGTTACGGTCTCCTCTGTGGATCTAAACCCACCTCAGCTCCTCCTCCTCCTCACACCGAGACTGCAACAACACCAGACAGTTACGGTCTCCTCTGTGGATCTAAACCCACCTCAGCTCCTCCTCCTCCTCACACTGAGACTGCAACAACACCAGACAGTTACGGTCTCCTCTGTGGATCTAAACCCACCTCAGCTCCTCCTCACACTGAGACTGCAACAACACCAGACAGTTACGGTCTCCTCTGTGGAGCTAAACCCACCTCAGCTCCTCCTCACACTGAGACTGCAACAACACGACAGTTACGGTCTCCTCTGTGGAGCTAAACCCACCTCAGCTCCTCCTCACACCGAGACTGCAACAACACCAGACAGTTACGGTCTCCTCTGTGGATCTAAACCCACCTCAGCTCCTCCTCACACTGAGACTGCAACAACACCAGACAGTTACGGTCTCCTCTGTGGAGCTAAACCCACCTCAGCTCCTCCTCCTCCTCACACTGAGACTGCAACAACACCAGACAGTTACGGTCTCCTCTGTGGATCTAAACCCATCTCAGCTCCTCTTCCTCCTCACACTGAGACTGCAACAACACCAGACAGTTACGGTCTCCTCTGTGGAGCTAAACCCACCTCAGCTCCTCCTCACACTGAGACTGCAACAACACCAGACAGTTACGGTCTCCTCTGTGGAGCTAAACCCACCTCAGCTCCTCCTCACACCGAGACTGCAACAACACCAGACAGTTACGGTCTCCTCTGTGGAGCTAAACCCACCTCAGCTCCTCCTCCTCCTCACACCGAGACTGCAACAACACCAGACAATTACGGTCTCCTCTGTGGATCTAAACCCACCTCAGCTCCTCCTCTTCCTCACACTGAGACTGCAACAACACCAGACAGTTACGGTCTCCTCTGTGGAGCTAAACCCACCTCAGCTCCTCCTCCTCCTCACACTGAGACTGCAACAACACCAGACAGTTACGGTCTCCTCTGTGGATCTAAACCCACCTCAGCTCCTCCTCACACCGAGACTGCAACAACACCAGACAGTTACGGTCTCCTCTGTGGATCTAAACCCACCTCAGCTCCTCCTCACACTGAGACTGCAACAACACCAGACAGTTACGGTCTCCTCTGTGGAGCTAAACCCACCTCAGCTCCTCCTCCTCCTCACACTGAGACTGCAACAACACCAGACAGTTACGGCCTCCTCTGTGAAGCTAAACCCACCTCAGCTCCTCCTCACACTGAGACTGCAACAACACCAGACAGTTACGGTCTCCTCTGTGGATCTAAACCCACCTCAGCTCCTCCTCCTCCTCACACCGAGACTGCAACAACACCAGACAGTTACGGTCTCCTCTGTGGAGCTAAACCCACCTCAGCTCCTCCTCCTCCTCACACTGAGACTGCAACAACACCAGACAGTTACGGTCTCCTCTGTGGAGCTAAACCCACCTCAGCTCCTCCTCACACTGAGACTGCAACAACACCAGACAGTTACGGTCTCCTCTGTGGAGCTAAACCCACCTCAGCTCCTCCTCACACTGAGACTGCAACAACACCAGACAGTTACGGTCTCCTCTGTGGAGCTAAACCCACCTCAGCTCCTCCTCACACCGAGACTGCAACAACACCAGACAGTTACGGTCTCCTCTGTGGATCTAAACCCACCTCAGCTCCTCCTCACACTGAGACTGCAACAACACCAGACAGTTACGGTCTCCTCTGTGGAGCTAAACCCACCTCAGCTCCTCCTCCTCCTCACACTGAGACTGCAACAACACCAGACAGTTACGGTCTCCTCTGTGGATCTAAACCCACCTCAGCTCCTCTTCCTCCTCACACTGAGACTGCAACAACACCAGACAGTTACGGTCTCCTCTGTGGAGCTAAACCCACCTCAGCTCCTCCTCACACTGAGACTGCAACAACACCAGACAGTTACGGTCTCCTCTGTGGAGCTAAACCCACCTCAGCTCCTCCTCACACCGAGACTGCAACAACACCAGACAGTTACGGTCTCCTCTGTGGAGCTAAACCCACCTCAGCTCCTCCTCCTCCTCACACCGAGACTGCAACAACACCAGACAATTACGGTCTCCTCTGTGGATCTAAACCCACCTCAGCTCCTCCTCTTCCTCACACTGAGACTGCAACAACACCAGACAGTTACGGTCTCCTCTGTGGAGCTAAACCCACCTCAGCTCCTCCTCCTCCTCACACTGAGACTGCAACAACACCAGACAGTTACGGTCTCCTCTGTGGATCTAAACCCACCTCAGCTCCTCCTCACACCGAGACTGCAACAACACCAGACAGTTACGGTCTCCTCTGTGGATCTAAACCCACCTCAGCTCCTCCTCACACTGAGACTGCAACAACACCAGACAGTTACGGTCTCCTCTGTGGAGCTAAACCCACCTCAGCTCCTCCTCCTCCTCACACTGAGACTGCAACAACACCAGACAGTTACGGTCTCCTCTGTGGAGCTAAACCCACCTCAGCTCCTCCTCCTCCTCACACTGAGACTGCAACAACACCAGACAGTTACGGCCTCCTCTGTGAAGCTAAACCCACCTCAGCTCCTCCTCACACTGAGACTGCAACAACACCAGACAGTTACGGTCTCCTCTGTGGATCTAAACCCACCTCAGCTCCTCCTCCTCCTCACACCGAGACTGCAACAACACCAGACAGTTACGGTCTCCTCTGTGGATCTAAACCCACCTCAGCTCCTCCTCCTCCTCACACTGAGACTGCAACAACACCAGACAGTTACGGTCTCCTCTGTGGAGCTAAACCCACCTCAGCTCCTCCTCACACTGAGACTGCAACAACACCAGACAGTTACGGTCTCCTCTGTGGAGCTAAACCCACCTCAGCTCCTCCTCACACTGAGACTGCAACAACACCAGACAGTTACGGTCTCCTCTGTGGAGCTAAACCCACCTCAGCTCCTCCTCACACTGAGACTGCAACAACACCAGACAGTTACGGTCTCCTCTGTGGAGCTAAACCCACCTCAGCTCCTCCTCACACCGAGACTGCAACAACACCAGACAGTTACGGTCTCCTCTGTGGATCTAAACCCACCTCAGCTCCTCCTCACACTGAGACTGCAACAACACCAGACAGTTACGGTCTCCTCTGTGGAGCTAAACCCACCTCAGCTCCTCCTCACACTGAGACTGCAACAACACCAGACAGTTACGGTCTCCTCTGTGGATCTAAACCCACCTCAGCTCCTCCTCCTCCTCACACTGAGACTGCAACAACACCAGACAGTTACGGTCTCCTCTGTGGAGCTAAACCCACCTCAGCTCCTCCTCAAACCGAGACTGCAACAACACCAGACAGTTACGGTCTCCTCTGTGGAGCTAAACCCACCTCAGCTCCTCCTCCTCCTCACACCGAGACTGCAACAACACCAGACAATTACGGTCTCCTCTGTGGATCTAAACCCACCTCAGCTCCTCCTCTTCCTCACACTGAGACTGCAACAACACCAGACAGTTACGGTCTCCTCTGTGGAGCTAAACCCACCTCAGCTCCTCCTCCTCCTCACACTGAGACTGCAACAACACCAGACAGTTACGGTCTCCTCTGTGGAGCTAAACCCACCTCAGCTCCTCCTCTTCCTCACACTGAGACTGCAACAACACCAGACAGTTACGGTCTCCTCTGTGGAGCTAAACCCACCTCAGCTCCTCCTCACACTGAGACTGCAACAACACCAGACAGTTACGGTCTCCTCTGTGGAGCTAAACCCACCTCAGCTCCTCCTCACACTGAGACTGCAACAACACCAGACAGTTACGGTCTCCTCTGTGGAGCTAAACCCACCTCAGCTCCTCCTCCTCACACTGAGACTGCAACAACACCAGACAGTTACGGCCTCCTCTGTGAAGCTAAACCCACCTCAGCTCCTCCTCCTCCTCACACCGAGACTGCAACAACACCAGACAGTTACGGTCTCCTCTGTGGAGCTAAACCCACCTCAGCTCCTCCTCTTCCTCACACTGAGACTGCAACAACACCAGACAGTTACGGTCTCCTCTGTGGAGCTAAACCCACCTCAGCTCCTCCTCCTCCTCACACCGAGACTGCAACAACACCAGACAGTTACGGTCTCCTCTGTGGATCTAAACCCACCTCAGCTCCTCCTCCTCCTCACACTGAGACTGCAACAACACCAGACAGTTACGGTCTCCTCTGTGGAGCTAAACCCACCTCAGCTCCTCCTCCTCCTCACACCGAGACTGCAACAACACCAGACAGTTACGGTCTCCTCTGTGGAGCTAAACCCACCTCAGCTCCTCCTCCTCCTCACACCGAGACTGCAACAACACCAGACAGTTACGGTCTCCTCTGTGGAGCTAAACCCACCTCAGCTCCTCCTCACACCGAGACTGCAACAACACCAGACAGTTACGGTCTCCTCTGTGGAGCTAAACCCACCTCAGCTCCTCCTCCTCCCTCACACTGAGACTGCAACAACACCAGACAGTTACGGTCTCCTCTGTGGAGCTAAACCCACCTCAGCTCCTCCTCCTCCTCACACTGAGACTGCAACAACACCAGACAGTTACGGTCTCCTCTGTGGATCTAAACCCACCTCAGCTCCTCCTCACACTGAGACTGCAACAACACCAGACAGTTACGGTCTCCTCTGTGGAGCTAAACCCACCTCAGCTCCTCCTCCTCCTCACACTGAGACTGCAACAACACCAGACAGTTACGGTCTCCTCTGTGGAGCTAAACCCACCTCAGCTCCTCCTCCTCCTCACACTGAGACTGCAACAACACCAGACAGTTACGGTCTCCTCTGTGGAGCTAAACCCACCTCAGCTCCTCCTCTTCCTCACACTGAGACTGCAACAACACCAGACAGTTACGGTCTCCTCTGTGGAGCTAAACCCACCTCAGCTCCTCCTCACACTGAGACTGCAACAACACCAGACAGTTACGGTCTCCTCTGTGGAGCTAAACCCACCTCAGCTCCTCCTCCTCCTCACACCGAGACTGCAACAACACCAGACAATTACGGTCTCCTCTGTGGATCTAAACCCACCTCAGCTCCTCCTCTTCCTCACACTGAGACTGCAACAACACCAGACAGTTACGGTCTCCTCTGTGGAGCTAAACCCACCTCAGCTCCTCCTCCTCCTCACACTGAGACTGCAACAACACCAGACAGTTACGGTCTCCTCTGTGGAGCTAAACCCACCTCAGCTCCTCCTCTTCCTCACACTGAGACTGCAACAACACCAGACAGTTACGGTCTCCTCTGTGGAGCTAAACCCACCTCAGCTCCTCCTCACACTGAGACTGCAACAACACCAGACAGTTACGGTCTCCTCTGTGGAGCTAAACCCACCTCAGCTCCTCCTCACACCGAGACTGCAACAACACCAGACAGTTACGGTCTCCTCTGTGGAGCTAAACCCACCTCAGCTCCTCCTCCTCCTCACACCGAGACTGCAACAACACCAGACAATTACGGTCTCCTCTGTGGATCTAAACCCACCTCAGCTCCTCCTCTTCCTCACACTGAGACTGCAACAACACCAGACAGTTACGGTCTCCTCTGTGGAGCTAAACCCACCTCAGCTCCTCCTCCTCCTCACACTGAGACTGCAACAACACCAGACAGTTACGGTCTCCTCTGTGGAGCTAAACCCACCTCAGCTCCTCCTCCTCCTCACACTGAGACTGCAACAACACCAGACAGTTACGGTCTCCTCTGTGGAGCTAAACCCACCTCAGCTCCTCCTCTTCCTCACACTGAGACTGCAACAACACCAGACAGTTACGGTCTCCTCTGTGGAGCTAAACCCACCTCAGCTCCTCCTCACACTGAGACTGCAACAACACCAGACAGTTACGGTCTCCTCTGTGGATCTAAACCCACCTCAGCTCCTCCTCACACTGAGACTGCAACAACACCAGACAGTTACGGTCTCCTCTGTGGAGCTAAACCCACCTCAGCTCCACCTCACACTGAGACTGCAACAACACCAGACAGTTACGGTCTCCTCTGTGGAGCTAAACCCACCTCAGCTCCTCCTCCTCCTCACACCGAGACTGCAACAACACCAGACAGTTACGGTCTCCTCTGTGGAGCTAAACCCACCTCAGCTCCTCCTCACACTGAGACTGCAACAACACCAGACAGTTACGGTCTCCTCTGTGGATCTAAACCCACCTCAGCTCCTCCTCACACTGAGACTGCAACAACACCAGACAGTTACGGTCTCCTCTGTGGAGCTAAACCCACCTCAGCTCCTCCTCCTCCTCACACTGAGACTGCAACAACACCAGACAGTTACGGTCTCCTCTGTGGAGCTAAACCCACCTCAGCTCCTCCTCCTCCTCACACTGAGAGACTGCAACAACACCAGACAGTTACGGTCTCCTCTGTGGAGCTAAACCCACCTCAGCTCCTCCTCCTCCTCACACTGAGACTGCAACAACACCAGACAGTTACGGTCTCCTCTGTGGAGCTAAACCCACCTCAGCTCCTCCTCCTCCTCACACCGAGACTGCAACAACACCAGACAGTTACGGTCTCCTCTGTGGATCTAAACCCACCTCAGCTCCTCCTCCTCCTCACACTGAGACTGCAACAACACCAGACAGTTACGGTCTCCTCTGTGGAGCTAAACCCACCTCAGCTCCTCCTCTTCCGCACACTGAGACTGCAACAACACAAGACAGTTACGGTCTCCTCTGTGGAGCTAACACTACACAAAGAAAACCAGGCGAGGAAAGTTCCCCAAAATGACCCTTGACCTTGGAGGGTTAAATATAAGTTTTGAAATATATATGCAGTATGTGTGTAAATAAGTTTTGCTGTTACTTGGAAAGAAGCATAAACGTCTGATGAAGAATTACGGACATTGTGCTTTAACAATTTAATAACTTTTTAAAACAAGCGTTTATATAACATTCAATTTAAACTTTACACTTAGTACAATAATCTTAGAATGTATGAAAACTGACCAGATAGTTAGTTACCCACATTTAACTTAACATTATACAGCTATCTCTAATTAAAAACAACTAATATAAATGTATGTTAACGTGTGCGAAGCAATTCATTTTGTTTCCCAAAGGGTCAGACAAAATTACCTTTAATTTTTATAAAGTTTAGGTCTGAAAATGACCATCTCTTGACGAGTCGATGACGTAACCTGCACTCAGTGTGTACTGTCCCAATTCTGCCTTTTGTGCTTGTAACCTGCGTACTCCAACCCTGGTGTGCACTTCAAACAAATGCACACTTCATAGGAGGGCGTAGGGTGCAGTGTGGGTATTGGGACTGGGCCATAGTAGAAGAAGAAGAGGTTTATACACAGAGATATAGTAGAAGAAGAAGAGGTTTATACATGGAGATATAGTAGAAGAAGAAGAGGTTTATACACAGAGCTATAGTAGAAGAAGAAGAGGTTTATACACGGAGATATAGTAGAAGAAGAAGCGGTTTATACACGGTGATATAGTAGAAGAAGAAGCGGTTTATACACGGTGATATAGTAGAAGAAGAAGCGCTGTCAAAACACCATCTTTGTGTGCGGTGTACGCTTGTTGCAACCGCACAAACAGAGAGAAAGACAGAGTTTGTTCATGTTCCAACTGTGGTCTCATTAAAAAGGACACTTTGAAACAATCACTGGAATGAGGCGAGCGAGGTGGATCAAGGCTTTCCCAGATAAGCGCCCCCTGCAGGCCACCCCAATGAAACACAGACATTTCTTCTGTTTTTCTTTCCAAAAATGCCCAAAATCAAGACTCTTTTGAGAAATATTTGTTAGTTCTCCCTTAGAATTAATGTGTCCCCGATTAAGACTGTTCCAACAACCGTACACCGCACAGGAGGAGAGCCTTTGACTCCAAAACAGACTTTACATGGTTTCAGTGGGAGCAACACTGTCCCACCTCTGCTCATGCGCCCCCTACAGGCCAGTTTAACAAAACCCATTATGCTTTTGTCCCGTCTGCAAGTTTGTGTATTTTGTTTTACTCTTGCCTGGTAAGCGTGTTTGGTTATGTGTGTTATGTTATGTGTTGTATGTTTTGTATGTACATATTGTGAGTGTATTTTTAGTGACTGGGAATCTTCCGGTTGCTTCTGGATTGCACTTGATGTGACATGGTGTGTGGGCTCGGGACGGGCCGGTCTGATTTAAATGATTATCGCACAAGCTGAAAGGGGATAGAGCTGTGTATTTTTATGATTCTTGTTTTACTGCCAAACTGATTTAAAGTATTCATGAATTTGTGCGATCAAATAAAAACGGAAAACGGCCGCATGCATCAGTACGAGCCTTCATTCAGTCAGCTAAAGCCGCTGCACATATTCAGGCAAATACTTTCAAAGATCGCCCCGAAATATCTTCATTTTCTTAAATTTTTTATCTGTGCATACAACTCATTATGTCTTGTACTATTTATGTTTTTTTAATCTCTTTTTAAACCCACATTTTACTACAGCCCAATACTTTTCTACTGCTCTGTTTCAATATACAATTATTACACTGCAAAAAGTGAAGAAAAATTACATTTGCCGATGGGACAGACAAAATGATCAAATTTTGAGGTTACACAATTATATTTGGCATAAAAATAAGCTTAAATTGTGATTTTCCAGTGCAGACCAAGCAAACCCAAACTCAATGGAGCCCAATAGGGGAAGCGCTCATGGACAAAGTGTGGCTGGCTCCTTATTGACTCACGTGGAACAGAGAAGTGTAATGTGGGGTCAGTGCATGAATGATGAAGTGAACTGTGAGAGTGTGGAGCCACAGTCAGGAGCCACAGTCAGGAGCCACAGACAGGAGCCACAGTCAGGAGCCACAGTCAGGAGCCACAGACAGGAGCCACAGACAGGAGCCACAGACAGGAGCCACAGACAGGAGCCACAGACAGGAGCCACAGACAGGAGCCACAGACAGGAGCCACAGTCAGGAGCCACAGTCAGGAGCCACAGTCAGGAGCCACAGACAGGAGCCACAGACAGGAGCCACAGACAGGAGCCACAGACAGGAGCCACAGACAGGAGCCACAGACAGGAGCCACAGTCAGGAGCCACAGTCAGGAGCCACAGACAGGAGCCACAGACAGGAGCCACAGACAGGAGCCACAGACAGGAGCCACAGTCAGGAGCCACAGTCAGGAGCCACAGACAGGAGCCACAGACAGGAGCCACAGTCAGGAGCCACAGACAGGAGCCACAGTCAGGAGCCACAGTCAGGAGCCACAGTCAGGAGCCACAGTCAGGAGCCACAGACAGGAGCCACAGACAGGAGCCACAGACAGGAGCCACAGTCAGGAGCCACAGACAGGAGCCACAGTCAGGAGCCACAGTCAGGAGCCACAGACAGGAGCCACAGACAGGAGCCACAGACAGGAGCCACAGACAGGAGCCACAGACAGGAGCCACAGTCAGGAGCCACAGACAGGAGCCACAGTCAGGAGCCACAGACAGGAGCCACAGACAGGAGCCACAGACAGGAGCCTCAGACAGGAGCCACAGATAGGAGCCACAGTCAGGAGCCACAGTCAGGAGCCACAGACAGGAGCCACAGACAGGAGCCACAGTCAGGAGCCACAGACAGGAGCCACAGTCAGGAGCCACAGTCAGGAGCCACAGTCAGGAGCCACAGTCAGGAGCCACAGACAGGAGCCACAGACAGGAGCCACAGTCAGTAGCCACAGACAGGAGCCACAGTCAGGAGCCACAGTCAGGAGCCACAGACAGGAGCTACAGACAGGAGCCACAGACAGGAGCCACAGACAGGAGCCACAGACAGGAGCCACAGTCAGGAGCCACAGACAGGAGCCACAGACAGGAGCCACAGACAGGAGCCACAGTCAGGAGCCACAGACAGGAGCCACAGTCAGGAGCCACAGACAGGAGCCACAGTCAGGAGCCACAGACAGGAGCCACAGACAGGAGCCACAGACAGGAGCCACAGACAGGAGCCACAGTCAGGAGCCACAGACAGGAGCCACAGTCAGGAGCCACAGACAGGAGCCTCAGACAGGAGCCACAGATAGGAGCCACAGTCAGGAGCCACAGACTGGAGCCACAGACTGGAGCCACAGACAGGAGCCACAGACAGGAGCCACAGTCAGGAGCCTCAGACAGGAGCCACAGATAGGAGCCACAGTCAGGAGCCACAGTCAGGAGCCACAGACAGGAGCCACAGACAGGAGCCACAGACAGGAGCCACAGACAGGAGCCACAGACAGGAGCCACAGTCAGGAGCCACAGACAGGAGCCACAGTCAGGAGCCACAGACAGGAGCCACAGTCAGGAGCTACAGACAGGAGCCCACAGACAGGAGCCACAGTCAGGAGCCACAGTCAGGAGCCACAGTCAGGAGCCACAGTCAGGAGCCACAGTCAGGAGCCACAGTCAGGAGCCACAGTCAGGAGCCACAGACAGGAGCCACAGACAGGAGCCACAGACAGGAGCCACAGACAGGAGCCACAGACAGAGCCACAGACAGGAGCCACAGACAGGAGCCACAGACAGGAGCCACAGACAGGAGCCACAGACAGGAGCCACAGACAGGAGCCACAGTCAGGAGCCACAGTCAGGAGCCACAGTCAGGAGCCACAGACAGGAGCCACAGACAGGAGCCACAGACAGGAGCCACAGACAGGAGCCACAGACAGGAGCCACAGTCAGGAGCCACAGTCAGGAGCCACAGACAGGAGCCACAGACAGGACAGGTCTCTCAGCGTCTCTTTGTCCTGAGTGGTTTTATCGTCCTCTGATCTGATTGGACGATGGAGGTAATCTGTGGGACCTCTGCAGGAGTCGGGGTGACCTCAAAACACACAACACAGAGTGATGGAGTCAGCACAAACTGTCCTTCAGAACCACGGTCCTCATGGCCTCTCCTGTCTCTCTGGTATCTCTGGTCCCTGCTCCATTGTCTCTGGTCTCTGGGGTCTTGACTCTGGTCTCTGGTTTCTGGTCTCGGCTTTATGCTCTCTGGTCTCTACTCGCTGGTCCTCCGCAATAACTATGGTTGTGATTTAGGCAATTGGTCTCTGTCCTCTGGTCTCTCTGGTCTCTCTGATCTCTGGTCTCTCTGGTCTCTGGTCTCTCTGGTCCCTTGTCTCTGGTCTTCCTTGTCTCTGGTCTCTCCGGTCTCTGGTCTCTCTGGTCCCTTGTCTCTGGTCTTCCTGGTCTCTGGTCTTCCTGGTCTCTGGTCTCTGGTCTCTTCGGTCTCTGGTCTCTCTGGTCCCTTGTCTCTGGTCTCTCTGGTCCCTTGTCTCTGGTCTCTCTGGTCCCTTGTCTCTGGTCTCTTAATAATGTCAAACCCTTATAAACCCCTCGATACGGTCCAGCTTCACCCAGACTCCACCTTATGCTGAGGTTGAAAAAGGTTACGGCCAGTCCCTGTGCTCCTCAGAGTCCCAGCAGGAGGCCAGTCCCTGTGCTCCTCAGAGTCCCAGCAGGAGGCCAGTCCCTGTGCTCCTCAGAGTCCCAGCAGGAGGCCAGTCCCTGTGCTCCTCAGAGTCCCAGCAGGAGGCCAGTCCCTGTGCTCCTCAGAGTCCCAGCAGGAGGCCAGTCCCTGTGCTCCTCAGAGTCCCAGTTGTATTTCATCCCTCCTGGAGGGATTCATAGAACGGTAGTTATAAATGTAACTTTTGTTTTAAATTGTTTACGTTCCTGGATAGACTCCAGGGAGGACTCTTTTAGACCAGGTTTGATCCAGGTCCTGGTCCTCTGCTGCGTGCCCCAGACGGAGAGAGTCCCTCAGAATAACTTTCACACATGCTGCACTTTTCTCTCCTGTTTCTGCTCGAGCTGCGTCTGACGAGGTTTTTAACATTCCAGATAATGATGTCTTTCACCGTTTCCTTTATTCACAGTAGAACTGATTAAAGCTGAGGTACGTAACTTACAAACCACAGCAATGGATCGCTGAGGAAGTCCATGTTAATGTTTAGATGCTAAAATTACACAATGATCTTTGTTATTCATTTGTTATTAAGAACACAGAGAAAACTAGTTCATAGATTAAAAACAACAAAAAAGTCAGATGAGAACCTGACCAGAGCTCCTCCTGGGACAGACCAGAGCTTGGATGATCTGGTTTAACAGACTCACAGCTCTGCTCATGAAAGAGTAAATACAATATCTGAAACAACACACGACCTCGCACCACAATTTACAAACATTTCACTGGAGCTACAGAACATGGGCCTTTTCAACAGGATCCTCAGAGAGTCATCATGAGCCACATTTAGACTCTGCATACTCTTCGTACTAGCTCCAGAGTCTAAAATGCAAAATAAATCATTAAACTTAAAAACTTTGAGTACGTACTGAGTGTGTAGAAGTTGTGTAGAAGTTGTGTGAGGTTGTTGAAAAGTCTAAGATAAAGTTTGATTTCAAAGCGTGGTGTGAAACTAAAGCAGAGTTTGTAGTTATTTCCTGAGGGAGCGACTACAGAAGCCCTGAAGGGACAAGTCTGAGAGCAGAGTGCAGCTCAGTGCACTGTACCCTGCGTCTCCACAGAAATAAGTGCAGTTTAGACTTTTATCAAGCTCCAGACACCGGCGAGAAATGACGGAGAGGAACTGGGACGACGGAGGGAAAGGTGTGCGTGTTGTTTGGACACGTGTCGGTTTTTCATCACGTGAGAGAGAGACTAGAG